TTTCCGAGACTCAACTCCAAAGACACATTTCTTGGGATTGAGCATGACATGGTGCCGCCTGAGTGTGGCGAAAGTTTCTCGGAGGTCCGACAGATGATCTTTCTGAAGTTTAGATTTGACAATCATATCATCAATATATGCCTCGACATTTCTCCCAATTTGATCAAAGAACACAGTGTTTATCATTCGCTGGAAAGTGGCCGGGGCATTCTTAAGACCAAACGGCATGACCGTGTAACAGTATAACCCCTGATCAGTGACGAAGGCCGTCTTCTCCAGATCTTTCTTCCATAAAGGAATTTGATGGAAACCAGAGTAGGCGTCCATAAAGCTCATCAAAGCATGGCCGGCTGTTGAGTCGACCAGGTTATCAATTTTAGGCAGAGGGTAACTGTCTTTGGGGCACGCCTTGTTTAAGTCTGTGTAGTCTACACACATTCGCCAGGTGCCATTCGGCTTTTTAACAAGCACCACATTTGCAACCCAGTCTGGGAAGTAACATTGCCGAATGAACCCTGCATCAAGTAATTTTTTAACTTCGGCGGCTGCCGCCTGACTTCTTTCTTCGCCATGGTTCCGCTTCTTCTGCCGTACCGGCTTCTTTTTTGGATCCACGGCCAGTTTATGTACCGCCAGATCAGGACTAATGCCTGGCATTTCATGGACTTCGAATGCAAAGATGTCCTTGTATTCTTTCAATAGTTTGTGAAAGTCGTCACCCAGGACTCTCAGAGCAGTCGTCCCAACTTTGACTGTTCGCTCAGGACGTGAATCGTCTAAGATCAAGTTCGTATGCTCACCAGCCGGCTGAGGGCGGAATTCATCCGACCGCTCCTCTGCCAATGATTGCTATTTTCTGTCTTTTCGTGCGGCCCCTGTCTGGGATGCCTTTCTCTTCTTGCCGCCTGCTTCTTGAACAGGCGCACTCTCCTTGACATTGTCAAGGTCTATTTTTCCACCACTCGACCCAGTGGCCATAACAGTGGGCTTGACATCCGAGAGATAGCACTCTCGGGCCATCCTCTGATCTCCCCTTAGGGACCCGACTGTTCCATTATCCCTCTCAAACTTGAGAAACATAAGAGATGGGATTATAACAACCTTGGAATTATTCAGGGTTGGTCGTCCCAGAATCATGTTGTAGGCCGAGAGTTCTTCTACTACCAGGAACCGGACTACCATGTGTCGTCCTTCCCCTTTTTCGCCCAGGCGGATGGGTAAATCCACTCGTCCCACTGGGTGACGACTCCTCCTCCAAACCCTACTAAAGGGTGGGATGCCGGATGTATGCAATCAGTCTGATATTTTAGTTTCGACAGACATTTTCTACTGATGAGATCTGAGGAGCTTCCGGTATCTATGAGGATTCGGCCAACTCTCTGGTTGGCCACTTTACATTCAATAACGATAGGGTCGTCATGCGGCCCTCTTACCCCTCCTAGATCTTCTTCAGTGATGACAATCTCAGGAAATGAATATTTGGAGGGCCGTTCTTGGTGAACGGAATTTACATCTAACCGTCTGATATTGTCTTTGTTGCCCCTAATAGTGGGGCCGCCTCCTGAGAAGCCGTCTGCAATGGTGTAGACGACTGCATCATCTGTATCGGAGCTGTCGGCCTGTTGATTCTTTTTGGTCGACTTCTTTTTTGAGGAAGTGTTCCCCGTAGATTTCTTGACATAAGTGTCAAGATCACCTTGCTCAGCCAGGCGGTCCAGATACCGCATGAGACTGATGCATTCATTGGTGTGATGACCAACATCTTCATGATAAGCACAAAATTTTTCTTGGTTCCGGTTGTTTGCAGAACCCTTCATGGGGACCGGCTTCTCAATTGAGATCCGTCCCTTGATTTCCTTTAGGATAAACTGGCTATCCTTGTTAAACGCATACTTTGGGGAGTATGGTTTGAATTCTTTTTTCTTTTTCTGGGCCGGCTGTTTAGAGGAATCAGCCGCCCAGACCTCTTTTCTCTTCTCGTCTTTGTTTGACGACTGTTTCTGTCGTCCTTCTCTTTTGTCGGACCTTTTCCCGTCTGACTGATTTACCGTACTACAAAGATCAGTCGCCTGTATATAGGCTTCCGCTTCAATCAAGGCCTCTTGAAGAGTCGCCACCCTCTTTCGGACCAAATCAAATTTGAAGGTCGACCCGTCTTTGAGACCTCTGAAAAAGTTAGTATAGGCTACTTCATCCGGTAACCCTTGAATCTGTATTCTCATCCGGTAACCCTCCTTCTCGCCCTGCTGAATTGTTCCTAAATCAAGGGTCGTCTTCTTCGCAGGGATGTTCATGGCGAAGTTGGAGGTGAATAAGTAAGCAAGCGTCTTGAAGTTATTTACACAACCAGTTGGCAGGTTGCCGAACCATTGTTGTGCGATTCCTTTGAGAGTCGCTGGGAAACACTTGCACCAAGTGGGATCATCCAACCCTTGAAGGTACATCAGGTTGGTGAATGCCATCAGATGGTCTTCTGGGTTAGTAGTGCCGTCATAGGCGCCTACTAATACATTTTTAACTTTGGCCGGCTGAGCGGCTTCAGTAATTTCCTTGGAGAAGGCCGACGGCTGTTCACCAAGTCTAAGCAATCGTAGCTGCCAGTCCATAGGTTAGACATTTTTTGCTGCATGTCCACCAAACGGAGGTGGCTGTAAAAAATATTGTTGTTGCGGTACAAACGGTAAGTTTGGTACCGCCTGGTCGCTATGAAAGCCGGACTGACGGGAGGTGCCGCCTGACTGACTCTCACGATACGACTGAGTATGCCTCATTGAGGTATTTCGCAGACTGTCTTGGAAGTTTGAAGTAGAGGCCGACTCTGACAATCGGCTACTCTTCTTCTGCTCTAGCAGTAGCCGAGCGTCTGTGTATGTTTTCCTCGACCCGTCCGCCTGAATATGACGAACAGGTTTCCTATTTCCTGGAGTAGGAAAACGGTATTTTGTGAAATCAAGGGCAGGTGGCTCCCACTTCCTAGATTTAGGATGAGGGGTCGCCTCTCGCCCTTGAACTGGTTTCCTCTTCAGTGAAGTGGAGGGTTTCTTAGCCGACTGCTCCTTGTCCAGAGCAGGCGGCTTCTTGTTGATCAACTCTTGAATTTCTCCCTTGAAGTCCCTCATGAAGGTCATGAGTTCGTTCCTTGTGATGGGAGCAGACCCATCAGTCGGCTGCTGCCGAACAGGCGGTGCGCCTGCTGGCTCACTTCCAGTTTGAAGATGTTCCCGTTCCCTCCTTTCGGTATGACGGGTACGTCGGGCCCTTCAAATTCATTCTCAGTATCGTGGTCCGACTGAACTAGAGGGTCGTCCAGGGGACGTCTCACTTCAGGAGCCGGTACAAACGTGGATGCCATCTCAGAAGTACTCTCCCCACAGACGGCGCCAAATGTTTCGGGGTTTTCTGATGTCCTGCGGGAGAGTTACAATTCCGAGACTGGAACCGGACGCCTGTACCTGCAAAACAAACGGATGCTCCGGATGATTGGAGATCCGCCTCCGACGGTCAAGTTAGTACTTGATTAAGGAATAATTAATGCGGAAATTAAAGTGATTGGGTCTCTCTAAGTGAGAGTGTTTAATGTGTGTAATCTCCTTTTTAGCGTCATCTCCCTTAATGAGGATTAAGGGAGGTATTTATAACCTCGGGAAACGTGTCAATCTAGGTTTAGGTTAACCTTGGGCTGATTGGGCTTCCCTCAGAAGTTGGGCCTAGGTGACCGGTTATCCCAGGTGTCATGGGAAGGACACGTGTCGTGTCGTAATTGGTCCATAGTGGACGGATCATTGCTTGACACGTGGCAGGCTCCTATTGGCCCATGTGACGGACACATGGCGGAACCTGATTGGTCCACTTGTCAGATGGTGATTGGTGGGGAAAAATCCCCTAATCAGTATTGACATCAACAAACACATCACAATCATTGAATCATGGCCACAAATAATTGATAACCAATTTAAGACCATTTTCAATAATCAAACTCAAATTTAAGAATTGAAATACAAAATAAGTTACCTTCAATGGAGATACCATACTCACTTTTTAATTTAACAACTCATATGAAGTCTAATTTTTCAATGGTAAAACACTTTAAAATATACAAATGTCAGTTTTAATATGGTCCACCAAATCCATTTATTTTTTAATATCAAATATTGCAAGATTAAAAAAAAAAGTAAAACTTAATTAAATTATAAATATATTAGAATATTGACTGAATGCCCCACACTTTTTTGTCAAATGAAACTTAAAGTTGAATATCTAAACTTAGCAAGTTTCTTTAAAAGTTGCTAAATTTAAATACCAACTTATTGGTATACATTGCAAAAAATACTATCTTTCTCTTAAAAATACTCACATGAGTTTCACCAATGAAAAATGTCTAACACTAAAGTACTCTACTAGTCTACATCCTTCGTCCTATATTACGGAGAGTACTCTATATATAAATGTGTACTTCGTAATAGACTTCTGATTTGTTACGGGAAATTAAGGATAGTATGTAGAGGATGTTGGTGTGGAATTCAGCTTGTGACTTTGAGTCCCACCAACTACATTTACTCGAGAGTAATGAGATTCCTTTACCTCTCCCCTCTACTATTCCAATTAGTTCAAACTAAATAGTAAAATAAATTCATTTTAAAGGTTTATTATACAACATTCTTTATACTTCTTAACTTCTATATTAGTACAGGTGAATCTTACCTAAAATGGAATGCAAACAAATGTAAAAACTGTTAAATAATAAAATTATGAAGTTACTTAGGAGGAATTGGGTGGTCTATAATGGTGGAGCTCATGAAATGGGATACTTATATACAAGGCAGGAGGTATGACAATTTGGATGCTAAGTTATTATGGAGTATACCAATAAATAAGTACCAAGGGATGTCTAATTAGTACTCCTTCCATTCCTTTTTATTTTCAAGCTTTATTTATTTTTCTCTTGCAAAAAGATTCAAACATAAGATGACAGAAATGAACAAAGTTAAGCACATATGACAACCAAAAACAAAATTTGTTAATAAAAAAAAAAAAAAACTCCAACGACTCCATCTCTTTTGATGATTTGAATCAAGTCATAAACCCCAGAGCAGATCTATGCCATGCCCAATATATTTATACGTTACAACTCTTACAAGCTCTTCAGCTCTGGTACAATTGAGAATTTACATAAATTCCATATTTTTTCGCAGTAGTACGGATACAAAATCTCACATATCAAAGTCACATGGTTCCGGTAATCCACACTGTCTGCTAGACCTCTTTAGGTACAATAGCCTCACGCCCGTCTATCCCCTCCCCCAAACAGCCACCCAAAAAATATAAGGGGGGAAAATAATGAATAACAAAACAATTACAATGCAAATCAAGTTACAATTCTATTACAGCCACATCTTGATATATTACATGATAAACAATAGGAACGCCTTAACCTGAAGATACAATGACCACAAAAATCACATCACTTAAGAGTTATACGAGAGTATTCAGGGGAATACAGAATATCTGAGCATGGTAAAAAAGACATACCGTTGAAACCTATGACAAGGCTTTAGGCAACCAATCTTTTCGATGTGTGCATGTATGAGGAAGATCAGCATCAAGGACAAACTAGGCTTTTAAGCAGTATTACCTTGGTAATGATTTAAAATCATTTGAATTGCATGCCGTTGAGATTGCGTTAAGCTCTGCAGTATAAACATAAGACAAATATTAATAGCATTTCAAGTTGAATGCAATGATGCAACTAGAGTTTTTTCAGCCTATACAGAATATAATTTCGAGGCAACCTGGGAAAGCTGATCAAAAAGCGTAGTGTCACTCTGGTAGAACTTCACCAAAAAATCAACAAGATAATTTGCTACATTAATCTGCAAAAGTAAATGGAACAAATAACAAAAAGATTAGATCAACAATGATTTCGTCAACCTGTACGCAACATGCCCATCAGATAGCACAATGAATTAACCTCATTAAGGGGGTCGATACTGCTCAATAGATCATCTTCATCTCCATCCTGTTCGTTCTTCAGCACCATGCATCGTTAAAGAAATGTTAGCAGATATTATGATAAGAATATAAAGCATTTCCAGAAAAAAAAAATTTATGGAAAAAAAAAAGGATTAACACAGGAATATAAGAAGAGAAATAGGGGAAAAAAATATTACCTCAAATACTTTTGCCATAGCTGCAAGATGTTCATAAGCAGGTTTGCCAGAAGATTTGGCAGTTGCCACATGTAAGATATTTTGATCTACATCTGCATCTCCTGCATCAACTTCCTCCCAGTCACTATCCTGCCACAGCATTTAAATTAAACTTTTAGTCCAGTTTACTTTGCAGGATACAAATAATACAATCAATAGTTCAATCATTACCTCCTCATCATGCTCCGTCACTTGTTCTTGAATCTCAATTAGTGTATCCGCTAACAAGGCAAGAATCTGCATCAGATTATTAAAAAAAAAAACAAATAAGATTAATATGTTATTTCCAACAGTTTGTTCTCTAGCCTCCATCATATATATATTGCAACAAATCAGGAGTTCAGGACAACAGAGGGTAGATTAGTATGCTCAGGGTAGATTAGTCTTTCTTATGACTGGATAACAGAGGTTGATTGCATGGGTCACTATTCAATGGGATAAAGGATTAGTCCATCAGGTCTTTTTGGTCACGGAGCCGGCTGGTCACAAGGTGGGAAAACTCTTTCAAGGTAGCTACTTTTCCAGTTAGACAATACTGCTTTTAGGGGTGTAGAATAATAATAGGGAGATTTGGGACTGGATGTATCTACCGTTTCTTTTTGGGGTATGTTATTTTAGTTTTTATTGAAATTGTATACCAACTAATTACGACTTCTCTAGGTGAAGACTCACTGACAGAGGTCAACTCGCAAGAGGTAAGGCCTTTTGTGTGCATAAGTTGGGGAAAAGGTATATGCTGCAGTTTGATTTAGACGTACTGCAGGGATACTTATCTTTAAAATATGCATAGTATGGAGAGGAAGAGCATACAAGATATTGAAAAATCTATGCTCACAAGATCACAGTAAATCTCATCTTTGGATTGGCTCTTAAGAGAGACCTTTTTACATGAGATAACAGAATAATAGTAATGTGATAGGTTTTGTTATTACCATAAGACAACTCAAGCCTCCTAACCCCAAAGATAAGGAAATGTAAAAGAACGGAATGTGCTTAAATCTTGTGTCACGCCTATGTAAAATAATAAGGGACCAAATGAGCACTATACAATTTTAACTAATAGTCTAATACCAAAAATATTAATTCGGCAATGGACATGCTATAAAACCATCATTGGTCTAGAACTTAAACTACATGCAAAGTGACAAAATAATAAATACCATGCTTACTAAACTTGTCTTAACTAGATCCAGGTTTTATCCTTTTAACCAACCAAGCTCACTGCTACAATCACCACCCACCCTCACCACCTTCCCCAAAAACGCCATCCACTGATTGTACACTCACCACCTTCCCTGGAAACACCACCCATCTACCCTACTTTCACCTAAACAACCACCCTCACCAACCCACAAAACTAACCCTAACCACATCCCCTAACGAAATTTACAGAACTAGAATCCATGGTGGTCGGAATGTGCCACGGGTTCCAGATCTGAAAATTCAGTGGTTGAATTTGACAACCACGGTCTCAAATTTTGAGGGAAAAAACGAGAGGAAAAAAAAAAAAAGCTGTTGGTGGCGAGATTCAACCAAATGACATGGGATTGGTTGTGGTAGTTGGCCGTGTGGTGGTGTAGTATTTTTCTTTATTCTTTCTTTCTCCTATTGATTTGAGCGCTTTGTTATGAAACTGTCAAGAATGATACATGCGGTGGCGTTGTAGTGGCAGTGGTGGTGATGGTGAGATGGTCTGATATAATGACAGGGATAAGGTTAAGGGGTGGGGCAAGTAATTAGATGGCTTAATTGTTGCCCTTTTATTTCTCTCCTCCTTGGTATGAGTGAAAAAAACATGTTGCACATAAATAAAAAAAATTTAAAAAGAAAAATTAAAAAAATTAAAAAAATAAAAAGAAGAAGAGAGGAAGTACTATTATAGAATGCTAAAAAAAGTTGACACATTAGTTTAGATTATAGTTAGCTTTCCAAATATATGCTTACTTAAATGGACTGGTGCAAAGAAAACAAATATCTTTACTCATTTCGTTTGGGCATATAGTTTTAAAAAAGATAATTTGATATTGAGATACATGTAAATTTTACTAGAAAATGTGGGCAATTTCACAATGATACGAGAATAGTTATATATGCTTTTACATTGATGTGAATAGGAAGAAAAGATAAATCTGTATTGAGATGGAAAAAGTACTCGTGAGTCGTGAGTGGAGACAGTTAAGCCCAGACAGACCCATTAGAGGGAGTATATGAGAAAGAGAGAACACCAGAATCAAGGAGAAGTACAACCTTTGCATTAAGAGGCATCACAGTCCACTGTTCTGGAGCTGATTTAGCTTTTGAACGTGTTGTTATTCCTGCAGTGCTCTTCATACAATAGACAGTCAGCTCTTTTTACATAGTAACTCTGCAAAAAGAGTCCAGAATAAAAATTCAAACCTGAATCAAATGGCCTTGAACAAAGTTTTTTGCCAATTCTACATGCCTGGTAGACAGCAAAAGTGCCAAAGAAGTGGTAGTAACTTTAATTTGGTAAGATCCCTGTATCTCACCTACAGAGGTTCAGATTAATGAAATCATCTTCAAACAGCAAGCAATAATTTTTACCAAAATACCAACACAAGTAAAAGATACATCTCAAAATGCCAGTGACAGGTATTTAAAATAAATTGAACAGTATGGATAACATGTAATACCCTAATATTTTAGTACCCTATCTATTTTTTTAAAAGAAAAGTTTGATTTAGTTTTTACTTTCTTTTAAAATTACAAGTTATTTTTCTACTGTAAGTTTCGGGATGAAACTTATTTTAAGGAGGGTAGATTATAATACCCTCAAATTTTCTATTTTAAGTTTCGGGGACGAAACTTGTTTTAAGGAGGATAGATTATAATACCCGAATATTTTATGATTTTATATAATATATTTTATTAAAAAATTAATTTACTTTTATTTATTAAATAACTTTCCTTATCTCATATTTTTATTTTAGTGTTCGGAAAGTTATAAAACCCTATTTTGTTTCAATAGCATTGTACAATTTAAAGAGTACATAAATTATTTAAACCCCTTTACAAAAAAAAATTATATATATAACGTACAAAGCAAAAGGAGTGTGATAATTTCCATTATGCACGTTCCTCTATTCGAAACTTGCGGCTAGGGGTGTTCAAAAAAACCCGACCCGATTGTCCTGACCCGATTCCCCGATGACCCGGTAAATACCCGATGGGAAATTTGGGGAAAAAAACTATTTTTTCGGGAAGGGTACCCGACCCGGGAAAATTGCTTGTTATCCGGGTCGGGACATGGGCCGCATTTTTTAATTCGCGGGTACCCGGATTACCCGATATCTTTTTTAAAAGAAAAAGCCCTCCCTTAAACTAAGCCCAAGCCCAAAGCAATATAATCAGATTACCCTAGTTAGGGTTTTCACGCCTCTCCCTTGCCCCCCCCCCTCTCTCTCTCTCTCTCTTCTTGCATCTTTCTCATTCGCTGTCTCCTCTCTCTCTCTTCCTACCTTTCTTCTTGCATCTACCAACCTTGAATTGAGTTCCTTCAATTCCCAGATATAGAAAGAGAAGAAGAGAGCAGAGAGAATGTCTTCATCGAATTACTCCGGCTTCCTCGACGGGAATCGGACAGCATCATTTTCTGCCATTTGAAGGGAGTGATAATATTGTTGCCGGAAATTGTTAATTGAGGGGTTTAAGGCGGTGGTTTTCCGGCAAGAGGAGGGGGTTTATGCAGCCATGTACGACAGTGAAGAAGAAAAGAGGAGGGGTTTATACAGCCATGTTCGATTGTTCGTCGGCTTCTATTTCTCCTCTTTATTTTCCAATTTCATTAAATTGTCAACCCCTTTTATTTGTTTATTTTTCGCATCAAAGATTCAATCTTTAAGCTATTAATTCCATGGTTTTTTTTTTCTACATTTTTCCTAGAAATTGTAAATTTAATTTTGGATTTTACATTGTGTTTTTGTTATTTTTGATGATGATATGCTTGTGAAATGGGAAATCAATGGTTATAATTTGTGTTTACCTAACAAAAAAAATAAATTACAGCAAGTATAAATAACTAAAGTTAATACAATTAAAAAAGGAAGAAATTCGGGTACCCTATGTCCCGACCCGAATAATTCGGGTACCTGGAACCCGGGTACCCGAGATATTCAGGTCGGGACATGGGACGAATTCTCAACTACCCGAAACTCCGGGTACCCCGGGTTTTCGGGTATTTGAACACCCCTACTTGCGGTACATGTGTGAGTTTCGGCAGCGAGATGATCATCATTCTTCATTGTTGATAATGATGAATTTTGTTTAAATTCTTTTAAGTTTTAACCTTTTCCTAAATTCAATGATCAGCATTACTCATGATTTGATGTTGCAAAGGTAATCACACTCATGTTGCCGAAGTTGTTTAATTATTAATTATTGTTGTATTGTTTGTATTTTGAATTATCATGTGTAAAATTTATAATTTTGTTATTTATATGATCAAGATTTACATATATATAAGTGCGTGGTATTATATGATTCGATTTGATTTGAATTTCATATTATTTTTGTTGTATATAATTAATTGTACAATTTTTATTTTTTTTTAGGGTTTTAATGTCGTTGGTATATGGAGTATTGTTTTATTGAGATTTTAGGGTTATTAATGCAGAGCATTATTTTTGGGTTGTGAGTTTATTATTTTGAGTGCTAGTATTATTACCCTAAGAGTTGAGATATTTATAAATCGAATTGTTATGTTATTTGGTAACATGTGCCATTGTTGAGATTGTTTATGAATAATTATTTGATCGATATATAAGATCAAAAGGTTGAGGAATTATTATTTTGTTCTTGGTTTGAGGCTCGGCGTTATATACCTTAGTCCTTGGCATGTTGGTAAGGAGATGATAATCATGAGTTAAGACTGAGGTACAATCTTTATTATTTATTTTTCTATGGTCCCCTACAGTGGGAATTGGCCCGTATGTGTTCTGGTTCAAAGTGTTTCCTGGTTATTGAGAGTATTCAAATTTTTATACTTGTTGGTTTGTTATTCGAATTACTCATGTCCAAGGCTAGGTATATAACAAAGAGCATGACACACTTATTGGTTATGAGTTGATTGAGTGAAGGATCGAATTATTATTCGAGGTTGAGTTGATAAAGGTTATTTTTCAGAGTACAATGTGTAATGTAGTTTCGAACTACATTGTTTAATTGAGCTAGTATTGTCAATTACTCAATTATACTCTATATTCAGATATGTCAACGTGTGTTATTTTGTTGTGCTACTTGTGTTTGCGGCCATGTCTTTTTCTTATGGTGGCCTTGCGATCCTTAATGGTGAGCAGTGAAGTTTGTCTAAACAGGTTGATCAAGTGGTCGTAGCTAAAGGAGCTCAAGTGTTTCGATTAGTTTGTTATAACGAGTTTATAAAGTTGTATAAATAGCTCACTTAGTTTATTGGGTTGTAATTATTGGGATTTTGTAAGCCTTAACAATTGACAGATTGTCGAGTGTGGCGGTAATACCTCGTATTTAGGTGTATGCTTCTGCAACTTTAATCAAACGTTGTTTATATTTCCTTTAATTCTTGTTTATTATTAGTTAGTAAATCGGGGGTGTTACATAACATATATACACAGAAAGCCAGCTATCAGGACAATGCAGAAACAGCATAAAATTGAATCACCATGGCTATTGTAAATATGTATTTTCTAAGAGGTCTGCGCCCTTATCCTTGGTACAAAGGGGGTGGGGGTTTCCAGAGGCATAAAATCCTTGTCCAGGATAGAGACAGGGCCACAAGGGGGAAGAGAAGAGAGTGAAACTGTCTTTTAGTAAAGTTATGTAATTTTATACTTGTAAGTAAAGTCACTTTCCGCCGTTGATGTTGATGTTTAGCCGTCGAAGGTGGTTGTTTCGGATTCGGGTTTGGGTCCGATAGTGTTTACTTGGGTGGTTAATAGCTAAAAGGGAGACGACCAAAAGGTTTGAGGGGAGGTGTAAGCAAAGGTGGGGTCACAACGGCTAAGGTTGACAACGGTAGGGGAGGTGGCGACTTAGGTACAGACAAATGTCGGGAGTGGTCGTGGCCTAGAGGACCTTGGTTGCTGGTTTTTGCGAGTTCTCTTTTGGGTCACCTTACAAGGAAAAGGGTAGGTGGGATAAGGCCCATAAGGGTAGGGTAAGGGTATATTTGTGTTTTGATTTTCTCTTTCACTTCTCCTTAGTTGTGCGCCAAAATGAAGTGTGACATCAAATAAATAAAAAAAATAAAAATAAAAAAGGAAGTATGTAATAAACTACATTTTTTAAAGAATTTATTTTACTCAATAATCATGACGTAAGCAACATCAATTCATACTTTCTAAAGTTCAATCATTGTGGTTGTAATCCAAAAGATTAATGTTACAACTTACAATGCAATCAGTGGAATCCTCAAATTTCAAACGAAAACTTACAAGTACATGCTCTACATACACACACTTCTGTCAGGTTAAAAGAATTTGCATGCTTTAATGAATACTACTAAGTACTAACCTTGATGCTTGACCCATTCAGACATTACATAAGCAAACGAATTCCTGTCACCATCCCCGGGTATGGAGACCAACAAATCAATAAACTGGCCAACATTTGGAGCGCTCAAATGAACCTATACACAGTATAAGGCATTAAATATATGGAATTAGCAGCGACATGTTCAATATAATTCCAACTATACAGAATTCCTATCGGTTATAGGTAAAACTAATTGCAATAAAAACCACACAAATTTTCCGCTTTGGCTGTTACTACAACTTAAGGAAACATTGCATAAAGAAATAGGTTCACAACATAGAGTGCACACTTATGCTTCAAATGAATTACTCAAGCTTCATGCTTCCATTTAATCACACAACTGGACAACAATGTCTGCTTTGGCTGCTATTAGCCTATTACTGCAGCTTAAGGAAGGATTGCAGAACAGAATACATACATCCTATATTATGCACATCAGGAAAAGGGGGGGGGGGGAAATGGTACATGGTCACTGATAAATTCCACATTGGGTGTATTAAAGTTGAAAAGACTCGAAGAAAAAACCACTTTTTTTCTCTAGGGGGGGAATTAATCATGACCTCATTCTGATTTAATACTTTTCATTAGATTGCTGATCTTCCAAACAAGAATTAGCCTGAGAACCAAAGGACTCACTGGAGGATGACTAAAAAATTCTAGCACTAATATCATGCCACAAATTTGATGATTTTCATAGAGAAAAACATGAATGACATCATCCGAAGCCATGAACTTACGATTATTATTGAAAACGAAAGGTGATAATAGTTCAAGGTGATAAAGTTTATGAGTAATACCAATCTGGCAAAAACAAGTAGCAACGAGTTTTTCAGTCCAGCAATTTCACAAGATTGCATGCGCCTGACAAGTGCAGAGACCAGATCTTGAATATGCTGCCCCATCTGTGAAGGAAGATTCAAAATAAGTTGCAAAATGTAATTTCCGACAAAAAAAGATCCCGAGCTTTCTAGATCAGGGTCCAGAAGCCTGCATGCACAGCAAAATCCAACAGTTACATATCACTACAAAAATTATTTTTAAGAAAAGATCCACCCACAGAGAAACAGGTGACAAGTCAAATTAGAATATTGACTTGAACAAATGAAGCAGATGAAAACTTAAGTACAGTATCAACCAAATGAAAATGCAAAATAATATCATAAACAATAGTCATAATAATATCCAGACTGGGGTGACTAAAACTTTAATTTTGCCACTTTCAACACAGATCAACAGCAATAAATTTTGTCAGTAGCATGTGACAAGAGCTATCTTGTATAACAGTTCGCACACAAGAACCAAAGCATCAGTGGAAAGGAAAAAGGTAGCTGACAAACATAGATACTATAGCAACCACCAATGAGGTTTTCTGCCTAAAGTGGAGGACTGATTTAGTTAATATAAGATGTAAGGAAGCCATTTAACATATATTAACACAAAGAAGCTACTCTAGAAAGACCAATGGTAAAAGAGAAGCTATATTAATAAGAATTATACAACCACCATATCACTACTGGGGTCAAAGTAATACATCATATTATCTGATTATTTATATTAATCAGAGGGCAAGACAACCTCAGAATTAAGAACAAACAAAAGAGCAAGAAATTGAACCATATAAAGAAAGCCCCTTAAGACCACCTCCATTATATTAACAGTCATTTCAAGCAAACTAACGTATTTGGCAAAGACATAAGAGAATATGTAATAATATTTGTACGAATATTCACACTAGTGCTGCCTTAAATTGTTGTTGCATATTGTTGTTAGTATGCACATTAGCATGTCACTTATTTTCATCCAGAAGGGTCGCTTGATTATAGGATAATCATCATATTATAATACAAAGACACCTATATGGCCAAAAACAAATCCCCATGTGGTCTGTCCAACGGATCTTACTGATAACAATATTCCCCCATTTGTTCGAATACACACACTAGTGCTGCCTTAAATTGTTGTTGCATATTGTTGTTAGCAAGCAAATTAACATGTCACTCAATTCCTTAAATGATACTCTCCATCCAGAGGGGGCGCTTGATTTTAGGATAATCATCATATTATAATGCAAAGACACTTTTTTGGCCAAAACCAAATCACCATGTGGTCTGTCCAATAACTCCAATTGATCTTATCGATAACAATACTCCCTCCTACCATCCCCCCTTTCCAAATTTCTGCTTACTTCTATTACCAATGGTATTATAACAGCCACACTACAAATGTTATTTACCCTTTTCTCAAGTATCTGCTTTACTAATTGCCACAAAATGCTGGCCTACATTTTTTTGAGGATTTTTCACCGGGCAATCAAGAACAGTCTCGCCCTCTCGAGTTTGGTCACAAGCAAGACTACATACATCAAAACCCTTCCAGAACTCATACTCATACAGAATAATTGTAGCAGTGAAACACAGGTCTGCAATGAGAGCCAAACATAGCCATCCAATCTAACCTCTGTCGGCCTAAGAAGTGGAACTAGACTGGGAAAATTTAATCCACTTTAATTCAGTTTAGAGGCAGATAGAAGGATGATAAATATAATTCAGAATATTTAAATTTTATATCTGAAGATTCTGAAACCTCCAATTTGGAATTATCTACTACCTCCGTTTCATATTTTTTGCAACTTTTGCCAAAAATGGAAGTTACACAATATTTGCAACTAATGTTTTCTTTCCTTTTTAAGTTGTCATTTCTCTCTATCTCTCTCCTCATCACATGTATTCCTATTTTACTCTATCTATCTTACACTCAATGTATAAAAAAGCTCAATGCGCACTGAGGCGAGAGGGGTTCTGCTACGCCTAGGTGCACCTCTTTGAAGTGAGGCGCAGTATATGGGCTGTTAAAATTTTTTGGCTGAAGTTTGCCTCATGTGCGCCTCAAGTGCGCCTCGGGCGCTTTTTGTGCGCCTAACCCAAAACGCCTCGCCCAAACCTTATTAAGCACTCACCCCCGATCGCCTTGCGCCTTAGCACCTAGGCGCGCTTTTTCAAACACTGCTTACACTCATAAACAAATTTTGCCTAGTGCTATGTTTGGATAACAAATTATAAGGGAAATGGAAGGGAGGGAAATAGGAGGAACTGAGGAAGGGGAAGGAAGGGAAAGTGGAGGAAATGATGAGCTCCATTTTCCCTCCAAATCTCTCCAATTTTGAAGGGATGGTCTTTATTAAAGTAGGAGGGAAAATGGATCCCTCCCTCCCCCTCCCCTTCCCTCCCCTAACATATTATCCAAACAAGGAAGTTTGTCTCCCTCCCTTTCCCTTCCCTTCCTTTCCTTCCATTTTTTGTTATCCAAACATAGCCTAGGAGTCCGTATACCCTTCAAAGTTGCAAAAAATGTGAACAGAGGTAGTACAAAAGTTGAGAGTTAAATACCAAATTGAAATATATACTAAGACATCCAAGTACCGTTTGGACTTTGCATGTTCTAGTCATGCTTAATAAAATAAAAATTAAAAAAGTCATCCTTAGCTAGCAGAAATAAAGCATTTTGAGTTTTTACTGATGCAGTAATGTACAACAACAAAATAGTAAATTATAATTCGTAAACCTAGATATTATGATCATGATGGCACATATACATTCAAGTCCCAAGCCGGTCCTCTAAATTGAAATTACTCCTTTCATGCGTATTAAAGATGTTAAGATTTAATAAGAAAGTATATCATGACCAGAATCAATAAGACATAATTCTGTCACAAGAATTGTATTTCACCATCAAAGAAGGAAATCAAATACCTTGAAAGAGCATCTAGAAGACTCCTCATCGTAAATCCAGGATCTCCACCCCAAGCAAGAAGTTCACTCTTTCCACCACATACAAAAGCAGCTAAGCATTCTGTAGCATTCTGGTGAGCAGTACAGATACAACTGAGTGCTAAAAGTAATTTAACGATTTCGAAAATGAAATTCATCATAATAGGTCTTACCTGCATCTCACTATGATCATCGCTCTGAAGTACTATTTGTATTATAGGATTAAAACAAACATCATATAATGCTTTGATAACCGGACCAGGAGCATTCTGTCAAAAACAAAGGACATAAGCTCGATCTAGTGTGTTAAAAGAAAGAGAAAAAGAACTCTAGGAGAATAACAAGAGTCACAAGTCACCTTCAAAAGCATAGTCACCAAATCCAGTGATCCAGCAACTAATCCGTCGGGCTGCTGTTTAGGCTAATACACACAGCCAAGCATGCAACTCAATAAATTGATCTTTCTGAACTCATTTGACCACTATCAAGGCTTAAGGATCCAAGACATACCTGGCTAAGAATTGGTCCAATATAGGGTAATACACGAGAAACTAATGGTTCGATGCAACCCGGAGCACTTTTGATTGCCTGATGTGAAAAAAAAAAGGCAAATATTCAAGAAATATAAATAGTTTAATAAAACATATAGATTAAAACCCAAAGTTCCTCAAATTCCCCCAAATAAAATCCACATTAACTAGAAGTGAAAGAACAAGTCCTCCATGTCACCACATAAGCACTCTCATCAAGCATAACTTAAGAAACCTATATTTGAGATATAGTCCCAAACATTTTCCTTGGACTGATCAATACCATTTGTGACTCTAAGCCTAGTGGATTCAGATAATCAAGTGCTCATGTCAAGTTTGTCGACAGCCAAACCGAAGAATATGCATTTTACTATCAATCACAATTGTTTGTGTTGGGCATAGTATTCATATCAGAAATTATGGTCAAGGATTACTATATAAATCTCTATCTACTTCCGAGATTCCTTCTAAAAAATTTTCCACACAAAACCTCCACATCTTCACCCAAATTAGTGAATTAAACAGGACTATTTTTACAAATATTGTAAGCGGCACGTCAATCTTAAGAAATTTCAGCATATCATAAAGTAAATGGAGATAAAATATTTATACAAACAAATAAACAGCTGAGGGAGATAGAAACAAAAGGTGGGGTCATCAGCTTGGCTAGTCAAACATGGGTTGGTTCATAGATCGTTGGGCTTTGATTACCAGGAATAGAAACTCTACAAATAAATCCCGAAGATTAGCATTCTACGGCTGTTATTTTATGGTTACAATTATTTACATTCTCAATGAGCTTATGATGTCACACTGGGCGGGCTGTTAGCTAGTGTGTATCATCTTACGAGAATCAAGTACGGTATGGATCAACTGGAAGAGGTATGCATAATAAAAGTATTTGCTCCAAGGCAGAGTCCTAGAATTCCGTCTGTTTTCTGGGTTTGGAAAAGTGTGGATTTTCAAAAACGGGAACCTTAAGATATGTTGGGAATCTCGTATGATAATTTATCATATATTTCAAATCACCCAAAGTGGCTTGGAAAACTGAGCTTAAGCTGTAAAAAGGAGAATCGAAGTAAGAAATATTTCTAGCAAGGAGGAAATCCAAATCATGTAGTGCACAAGCCTGCAGTGAGGTCATTTTTGGTTCACTGATTAGAGTATTAGAAGAATTTAATGTTCTTGGAAGATGATAGAGAAGCATTATACTTTTCTTTATTTTATTTTATTTTAGCAATTGCTTTCATTATTTACTCAACTCATGTGTTGCAAACTTTACTTATTTCCTTTGCTAAAGTTTTCTCAAACCTTCATCTTTTTTTTTTCACTCCCATGTTTTCCCTCTCCTTTTTATCCCCTTACATCCCTTTTAAAACTCTCTTAAATTTAATCTGTATATTCTTTTTGTTTCTCACTTTACAACTTTTTTTTTTCAAACTTTTATTACATCGACTATCTTGCTATGCTCTTTTTCCTTTCCAAACAGTTCCTTGTAATGATTCGTGCTAGTTGACCCCAAATCATTTTGCCATTTTGGGACTAAGGCTTTGTTGTTTGTTTGTTTAGGTCACATAAGTTGTCCACTCTCTTGGGAACAATTTAATATATGAAAGGGAGCAAAATGTTTCTATACTCCCTCCGTGTTTTAATAAGTGTTACACTTGCTAAATCCGGCCGTGTTTTAAACACTTCCTTTTTTGGCAAAAAACTACATATAAATAATATATCTCTCTCCTTTCATGGTCCCCACCAAAACCCACTACTACTTTTTTTTATTATATTTCTCCTCTCACATTCATTACTTTATAGTAAACTAATAACCCCACTACTTTTCTTTTACAATTTTTTAATACTCCAACTACCCCACTTACCTCTTATTTTATTTAAGTCTATTAAATTGTCTAAAACTATGTACCGGTCAAACTGTAAAACTTATTAAAATACGGAGGGAGTATCTTAAAACATATTGGAATTAGAGAAATGGGGATTAGGGAGGCCAAATCCATGCATGAGATGTCCGCAGTTCTCTAAATTACCATTTAATTAATAAAAACTAAGCATGGGTTAGAAAACATCATTGTGTGAAACCCTGTTACAAAACGCCATGATATAAATCAAATCCTTCATGCAACATTAGAGCTTTTTTCCTTTTTGTCCGTTCTTAAATAAATCTTGGCCAAAAGTATTTCACTAATTAACTAATGAAACATATTACTCTATATATCCATCACCAAAAATACAACCCACTTATAACAAGTTTGGTCCTATTATAAAATCACTTCTTACACTAATAAATGCTAAGGATATTAACACCTGTTAAATGTTCCATTCCATTTGTAAGAGTTCTTGATTTTTTGTTCCCGACTACTACAATTTTATCTTTATAAACTTTACTGGCCTATAACCATCATCTACAAGCCTCTATTCTTTTAATTACAGTAATCATTGATAAAGGAAACTCAACGTCAACGAGACAAGAAATTTCACACTAAGAAAAAGGAACTGGTATATTCAATCCTCAAGTATATGGATTTGCATGAGGATCAGACATTGGATCGTAAGGGATGGAGGAGGAAGATTTTTGTCGATGATTACACGGGATAATCACTTTTGGTTCATGTAGTCAACCCCACTTATGGGATTAAGGCTTTGATTGATTGATTGATATGTCCAATCCCACTTCTTCTGTCCAATAATCTATTAACTTTTACTGAATGAGCAGAAAACAGGCACATAAACAAGGAACACAAATGTTACCTCCAGAACTTCAATGGCATCTATACTAATAAAGGGATCAGAGACATGAGAGACCCATGTGTTAAGAATTATGGGGGAGATAATCGGCTCCACGGATAAAGATGCTTCATGACCTACATAATAATAAATCTGATATTAATTTTAAGAGAAAGGACTCTGGACCCACCAAAAATTATTAAAAAAAAATAATAAAATAAGAAGACAATTCTATTTCAGTAACAAACATCAAACTATGAAGATAAGTCCAAAAACCCGCCTTTATTTTTGTGCAGGCATAAATTACAGAAAACTACCTGACTTTATAGCTGCTTGTAATGTTTCAAGTACTAGGTGCAAGCTTTCTTCAGATGCCTACAGTCAAATTAAAGATGTAAGCTAGTACCATCAAGAAGATAACACAGGAAATAAAAAGGAAAGCCATAACCTCCTAATAATACATTACATGATTAAGTAGATCAACAAGTGATGAAAATAACTGCAATATCTGAGGTTGAAGAGCCTCTTTGTTTGCTTCAGATAACAGTTGGGAAAGCACGCGACAGGAACCAACTTTAACAGGTGGCGGCCTGTACAGAATACATATCAGATATCTTCCCTGATAAGTCACAACCTATCATTAAACTTGAAACCATTGTAATTGAAGTAGAAAACTTATACTTACACATCCATGCCTATGGCTCTCAATGAAGCAAAAAGAAAATGTTCAATCACCCCAAGGCTCAACTGCAAAGGAGGTTATTCTTAAGATACATTTAAGCTGAATAATTTCCCATATAGACAAAAATTTGAAAGGGACAAAACGCCAACATTACCATAGATGAGAACTTAGGCACTGATGAGAACACGCGGGCATATAGAAATGGGCACTCATGAACACCTGTGGAAAGGAATTGCTTAGCCAAATTACATAAACAAAAATACAAACTCAAAGCCCTAACAACCTTGCATACCTGCTCCAATATCTTCCATTATCATTTGCTCTATAAATTTCTTCAAATCAAATCCATCAGAGCCACAAACCTATTGAAAAGTGAATAACATATTAAGCAACCTCAAGTAGAGGAAGACCTTTTCATACTTCAAATAGAAAATCAAGAAAGGAATACTAAACTAATTGACAGCAACAGAGAACTCAAAGCTGCTCAAACCTCTGCTTCTTGCAATTGATCTGATAATGATGCCATAGCATAAATAACAGCCTCTCTTATCTGTCAAAGGCCATATTGAAGAATTAAGATTGACCACCTCAAGCATAAGATTAACATCAACTTTGATCATAACATGAAATATCCAATGGTAGGAAAGATCACTTCTAGCTTGACTTGCCACATCATTATATTCAGCTACAATACATTGGTATAACCCCACATTGAAAGCAAACTTTAATTAAAATTTCCTTCCATATATTGAGGCAAGGAAGGTATCTGGTTTTGACTACAGAACTGAGTGCATGTACAGATTCCAATGTTCAAGCAATTTCTTCCATCTAGCAGAAAAAATTTAAAGCTGCAAAAATTAACCATTGGAGTTACCCTTTGACCCCATTTGGTTAAAACTTTTGCATCACATTTGCATGCATTTTATCACCCAAAACATTATTTCATGATTAGATGAAATTGCAAAAAGATATGTGAAGTGTGGGCCATCTAAGAAACCACCAAGGTATACTAGAGGATAGAGATCGATTTTCTCCAAACCCCCATCCTTGACATTAGAGGGACAAACCTCAGCACCCTATTTTTACAGACCATCATATCTATAATCTAGTTCATTAACCCCACCTCATCTAGCTCTCATTGGCACAGGCTGACTTACAGATGGACTATCGCATTATTTCTGTTAAACTATAACAGCCTTCATATTGACCTGGGAAAAACCACTCGTATCAAATTTCAATATAAGTGAGAAACTCCAGGGTATCTTTTTTAGTCAATATACAGTCCCTCAACCCTCGGTAGCTTAGTATCAAACAATAATTGATCGTTTTTAAAATTGTCCTTATCAATACATCATCATTTATCAAACCAAACTTACTTTTTCTATTTGTTATCCACAATTTGAAATGACAATCGTAATTTAATAAAAAAAAAGATGTGCTGCAAGATGATAAGTGTTCTGCAATCATGGATAACGGCAGTTAAACAACAAATTATGCATCAAAATCTACATGCTATAGCAACCCAGACTAGGCATCAGCAGAAATCCAAAAATTATTTCAAACTTGAAGGTCAACTTTTCACAAATACATGAATGAACAATGGTATTACACCCAATGCCAGCAAAGCAGCTCCCACTTGCGAAAGATGGTAAAAGGTACACAACCTTATCCATTCACCAATAAAGTGGCTGCTTCAGTTAGACCCGTGATCTGAAACAAAACATTTGTCTGCTGCTTCATAATGAAAAGAAAGTGTAATCATTTTATGAGCCCTCTTCCAATGAATAGATTTACAGATTTCCAATCATGATCAGAGCAAAAAGAGTCCCATTCATACAGCCTTAATTTCTATTCAAACAGATCTAGCAGAATTGCAGAAACGTTTCACCAAGATGCATAGGCTTGTTAGTAGTTTGTCACATCAAAGACAGAAAAATACAAGTTTAGATGTCAAAGCAAATTTACTCAACAACTCCCACTCCTGAAAATACGAAATGCACACATACACACACGCAGAGAGTAATCATTCAGGAAAAAAGAAGACAAATAGCATGTATAAACTTCATCTGATAATTCTCAAATCAACACAGAACATATCAAATTTTGCAAACCAATAAGTAATGCAGCAACAAATTTTGCTACACTTACCCTCCACCAAAATTCAAAACCATCAGCCTTCTGTTGTTGTGACTCGATAAATCGCCTCCTAGCAGCATCTATCAAAGCACAAAGCCCATCCTCGCCACAAGAACTGATGATCTCTTCTAATAATAGGACACCTGTAGACAAAATGGAAAATCAACCCAATTAACAATCATACAGCCAAAATCAATTACATTACAAGGAAAAGGGGTGCGCCCCCCCCCCTCCCCTGAACTGAGCCAGATCAAACATTATAGGCTATCTTATAAGATAATATTATCAGGAAATATGTGTCCAACAGAGACAAATACTTGATTCCAATCGTAAAATAGCCTCAGAAAAGGTAGCACAGATCCTCAGTAGAGAGAAGCTAGGCCCTCAAAGATTTTTTTCAGTCCATCCATCACTTTAGAACACATTATTATAATGGAAACTAAATTCCCAAGTTTACTAATCCAAGCCTCTTTTTTTTTAATCCTACTTTCCCAAGCCACATGCACTGAAGGCAACACAAAAACGATGTAGACGTTGACAGAACAGGGATGGCAACGCTGTTTACCAATATTTAACAATGCATCAGTTTCAGGCGTAAGAAAGGTAGAGTTCCCATATTAAATCATATAGGGAAACTCATAACATAACACTAAACTCTGGAGCAGCTTGATTAAAGACAAAAGCAGAATTATATAGCATGGCCTTCTCCAATTGACCTATAATCCTAACAAACAAGAAATCATTTTTTTCCCAAGATTTTAATGACCAAATTTTTTAAACTAAGTGTTTCTATATTTTCATATACTATAGAGAAAAAATTACATGTCCATCAATACGTGAACAAAAGGACTGGCTAGTGGCTACATTGCGTTTACTGTCAATGAGGACAAATAGTTCCTTCTACTGAATCTTAAACTTTAATTCATGTACTGATTTTTCTATACAAATTCTATAGTTGTCCCTTCAAGTTTTGCATACCAGAAACACGGCAGTTGTACATATTGTCATCTTCATCAGAGATATACTGATTTGCGTCCAGAGACCATGCATTCATCTACATAATATCCAAGAAAGAAAAAGTAGTTAAAGAACAAAAAAAAAACTAAATTGCACAACTTAAGTTCCTCAATTTTTCTATGAGTGACCTATCAGAGATCGAAACAGGATTTAAAATTGTATGTAGGAATCTTCTGATGGCCACAAAAACATAATAATACAGCTGATAAAGTCGTACCATTTCCTCAATTCACAGATGGCTTTTTTAAGGAAAAACGTCTGGTTTCAACCAAATGTAAAATGAGCAAGGAAAACAACAAACAATTTCATGATGACAAGATAATAAATTAAAATTGACTATCCAATTTGGGCAGCCAGAAATTCAAGTATCACCAAAGAGGCATAAAAAACAAAATAAAAAAATGGATCACCTGCTGTTCTGTAATCTGCATAAATCCAAATGTATAGTAAACCAGCTCTTGCAAGTTATTTGCAACAACCTAAATAGAAAAAGGAAAAGCCGTTATCAGAAGTGCATAACAAGAAAACAAAATAAAGCTGCAAATCTGAATTCAAGGTTCATTTGCTGTTATACCTTCACAAATCTCGAACTGCCGACGATTGTTAACAAAAATTCAAATAACTGCAAAACGTTTGTGTTAGTAACCTTGCCTAAAGAGGTAAAGAAAGAAGATAACATACTGAGAAATCAACCTGACTACACTGCACTACCAAGTATATTTGTTTTAAAAAGATGCAGAGCATAAAACAATAAATTTACTTATAAAATAAAGTGAATGACCCATCACTGCTAGAAAAATAGATTATTGACTTCCATTTTTTGCCTGAATCGCAAAGCTGCAAAGTGTTTCTAGAAGACGTATTTGATAAAAACCCTGTATAACTCACATCACAGCCAGACAGACGAGATCTAGACAGATCTATATAGCCTTGCCACTCAATTACACTTCCTCCATTCTCTAGAGGATGCACATAGGGGTAAGGGGGAGGCACAAATATTAAAGAGACCTATGTGATAGGTGAGAGGAAAATAGAGATGATTAAGGAGGCACATTTGATGATGACAGAGATAGGGAAACAAAAGCCAGAGCATAATTTTGCATCCAATATGAAGCTTCCTATAATTGGAAGTGTAGCATCCTTTAGAGAATCGAGAAAGTTTTAAATTGTTAGAGAGACCGTTTCATCAGCAAATGGTTTTTTTCATAAGAACAATTATCAGATTGGGTAATACAGAAGGAGAACAAGGTTTACTCACAACAAACTCTTTAATTGAATATAAGAAGGGTAATACAGAAGGTGGAAAAAGTGACAAGAAATTTTAAAAAACAATTTTTCGCCAAAATCCTCAGTATCCCCACTAAAGTATAATTTGGGAAATCTCCGGCCTGAATCCATAAGGAGCTAGCAAAGTCACTTTATATTAGAGCAAGTCACGCACGAAAGCAACATCCTTATAAATTTGTCCATCTTTTTCTCGATGTCTAGCCAAACACAACACAAGATTGTCATCATTGTATTTCGCCAAAGCAACTTCTCCTTCGCCTTACCAAATCCCACAAACTGTATTTGTAACCACTCCTAAATGTTCGAAGGACACACTTTTAAGTCTCCTCTTTATAAAATACAAAGTATCTTTTCCAGATTAAGCACATTAATTTTTCATATATTTACCTCTACCGATGCTTATTTATTTTAGAACTGTGCATCATACATAATTGGGAACAGTCCAAGAAATCAAGCCAAACTGGCAAATCTTTATAGCTCTATTAGACTTCAGTACAATAACTATGCCTGATGAAGTTGAAAAGACAGATCCAAGTGGCTTATATAGAGAAATACAACTTTCTTGTTTCAAGTTTTCTTAAGATTCAACTTCCATCTGTCCTGCCTTCAAGCATGAAGTTGATGCAGCTGTTCTATAAATTCTGGAAGCATTGTGCCATAGTTGTGTAGAATCTGTGGATTCAACAAGATGGAGTCTAGGGTTATGGTTTCAAGGCCCTCAGGCCAAATAGTTTCAAGGCCCTCTGACCATTCAGATTCCCGCACAAGGGAGTTGAACTCAACTATCCACTCTCAAGGTTCGTATAAATCACTAGATGTTGGTGTTCTTCAAATTTCTAGCTAGAGTAGCTTATAAAAAGGTAAAAGTTCTGCTTTAAGGAAGGTAGTGCGAAATGTGAATTCAGTATGCAATACGTCTTTTGCATTTTTTCATTACCCTCCAGGTTCCCCTATCCTAATTTTGTTCCATTCCAATGACATGGCAGTAATATAAACAAAAGGGAAAAGCAGTTACTCACTTACTTTTTACATACCTGTATGACAAAGGACTCGTACCTGTATAACAAAGGACTCTAGACTTCTCTCTGCCCCATCAGAGTCATATCGTCCTTCAAAAGAGTCTTGAGTACCTTCGACTGATGATTGCTCATATACTTTTAAAGTACTCACAAATGTTTGCCACAGAGGTCCGACAATAGCTGCAACACAGGACACACAGAAACAGGATGATAAATCCTCATAAAAAGAAAGAGAAATACAATAAGAATGTGCCTAATTGTTATCTTGTAGGCAAGAACCATATTAAACTCACACATGAACTCTTTTTCAGTAGCACTCGGAAAATTCTGAACAAATTGATTCAAGCACTTCAGAACCTGACAATTGAAAAAGAACAAATGCGTATAATATTATTAGCATAACAGTAAGCAATTCAGGAGTTCAGGGTTGGCTGTTTCACCTTCATCCAAGCCCTACAGTCCAGCATCACACACTCAAAAATATAATAAGGTAAAGAAGGATGTCATTTGTCAAAATAAACCTCTATTCTTATGCTCCAGTCATCAGGATCTTCTGGTTGCACTGGATGACTTAATACAGCTGAAAACTGCTCCATCCATGGTTGAAGCATTGGTGACATCAGATGGCTGGTCTCTGCCTGAAAGGAGTCATTATATGTCATATGTAAATTATTCAGAATCAATAAAGTCAAAATAAATTTAATTACTCAGAATTTAGACATGTAAACTTAATACCTTGTAGGCACCACTCATGGTACCCAGCATGGATGTACAGCTGTAGACTATTGACAGAGATTTTGCACGCATTGATTTTTCATAGATCTAACCAAGGTAAATACAGAGGTGAGCCACCATCAATTTGAAGCATCAACTTCATCAGAAAAATAAAACTCTGGAGCAAATACTTGAAATTATATTGTCTACATTTTACAGATAAGCAACTAGCTGACAGTTAGACACTACTTTATATAGATTTACCAAATCAGCCCATAAAAGCTGAGATCAACTATGGGTAGACAGAAATTTAAAGTAGGGCTGTGACAATATAGTCGATACTGACCCACTAAGTTGTTCAAATAATCACAAAGATAACTAAAAAAAGATTTATATTGTAGAGGATCAATAAGAACTAATAAAGATAACCTCATGACACTCAGGCTTCATCTGTTTTTGAAAAAATTATTCGGGAAAATGATTTTTCATGGAAATCAAAGGGAAAACACAATTGAAAAAATAGTTTTCTTCAGCTTGTTTCCTAACAAGAAAATTTAAAAGGAGGAAATGAGAGGGGAAGGGAAAAGATGGATGGGAGGAGAGGAAAGGGATATTAAGAGTAGGCAGTAAACACAGCATTCCTTCTTCTGAAATGGAAGATGGTTTTCCATTCTAGGGTAAACTAATTTTCACCTTTGACAAAATTGTTTTTCAACCTTTACAAACCAAACAATGGAAAATTGGGAAAATCATTTTCCTGAAAAATGAGTTTCGCTAAAATAAACAAAGCCCCAAAGTAACTCATCAGTTCCGTGGCTACTATGCTACATGGATACAGCTTACACAAAGAGCTTGGCAATGACAAACTTTCGGCTATAATAAACTGCTATAACCCAGCTTAACATGATTTAGCCCCCATCATTTCAAAATTGCCCATGTATGAAGCTACCAAAACAAAGCTTTTGCTGCATGACTATTGACCAATTAGGCAACTAGGTGTGAAAGCATCGTTTAGACCTCCAGCAAATTTAGATAATACACTGAAATAGGAACAAGGTAATCAAACCAGTATCATTCTAAAATTCTACTTTCTAGATACTACAGCTCAATATATGGATAGTTCAAACAATGTCGTTAGATTGTCAAGTAAATAGAAATGCAATATTATGAGCATTCAAAAAAGGGTCAGCAGTCCAGTGAAAAAGGTACAAAAACAATAGCAGATGCATATAATAAGAAGGAATATACACTAAAGTAGAATGCTACTATACACAATAACCAACATATCAATATTAAAACAATAATATATACTTAAGCCTTATGGTGCTTATAACTTTTGATGTACCAATAGTAAGTTTAACCAAAGGTTTACTTCCTTAAGAACTAAACTGGTGTCAAAAAAAAAGACAGCAGGTAAACATAAACAGCTAAATTTCAGATGCAGCAGATTCTGCATTGACTCATTTAGGGTATAATTCACTCAAGTACAGGGCACATACTATCAAAATAATAACCTACACATATACATTTGAAATGAGACAATGAATAGCTGAACTATACGGACCTGAGGAGATGAGACAATTGAGAGCAAACAAGGGAACAAGATAGGCACCAAAGATGGTACAGCTTTATCATCTATGTCCCCGGATAGAAGGGCCAAGCACCTTAATGCACCAAGCACTGTAGAAAATTATTCAAGAATTAAACTCTTCTTATCTAACTTTGAAACGATGCCTTGAATAGAACAGCAGATTAATATAGCAAAAGACAGTAAAGCATAACTAAACCAACAACTGAGAGCGGTGACTAAAGGCTTTGCAAAGGTAATGCAGTCAACATTAAAATATCATCACCCTAGAAAATAGAATACTTCAGTTATTTAACATTTCAAACTACATATATGAGAGTATTTTTAAATATGAATTGCATTCTTTTATCTCCACCATCCAAAACCTGAGACAATGGAAGCCACTAATGGGACAGCAGCTTTGACATCTCACTTTCAATCTCAACTTGACACAAATTTAGTCAGAAAGGTTGAACTTTTTTATCAATGCAAAGCCCAAGAAAAATTCGAGAGTCCAAAACTTACCTCCATTCATATTAGTTTGATCATTAATCAATTTCATCAGAAAAGGCAATAATTCAGGCCAATCTTCTGGCCAATCATAGTGTGCAATTGAAGCAACAGCCATGCTAACTGCTGTGCAGATTTTCCTATGTGTATCATCCAAGCACAGCAGGAGAAGTCTGCATATGACTTCCTGGAGAAACAGGACAAGTGACAAATCCAATGAGAAGACCAAAAAGGACATGAGAAATAGTCACTTCATTCCATGGAATGGGTCAAGGTATACAGCTATAGTATAGTAGAACCAATCGATTCAATCACAACACAACAAACAAAATTTAGTTATTTGCAACTTTCAAAAAAACTAATGAACATCTTGTGGGGGTATTTATAGCCTAAAGAGTAACCACAGGTTGGAATTTAAAAAAAATACTTCCTCCATTTCTATTAAGTTGACGCGTTCAATTTAGGCACACATAATAAGAAGAGGAGAGTGAATGAGATAGAATGATAAAGCAAGTGGCGTACACTAGTAAATACAAGGCATAAAACTTACCCAAAAAGAAAACGTGTCAGCTAAAAATAAACTTCCTAAAAAGGAATACATGTCAACTAAAATAAACGGAGGTAAGCAATTGGTATTTTATTAAAACTCAAGTAGAAGTGAACTTGTCTTTCAAAACGGACATCATAAGTTTCATTAAAGAAAATACCGGTAATATGCACAAAATATCAAGACATTCCAAATAATACACGATGTGAATTTCAGATTTCCTTTCTCCTTTATTCACCATCTATGTGACCAATATAGTAGACATGCAAATGCACTGAATCAAACACGCCTACAGCACTTATTCCCCATCTTTCCACAACCATCAAAAAGGAAGTCTAAGAAAAATACACTAATTTAGTTACAGATTTTCTAGTTTTTTATTAAGGGTCTTGCTCAAGAACGCCCCTGAGGGCGTTAGATAAGCATTTAAGATACTACCTAAAGTGGTATTAATTAGGGAATCATGACAAAATCGTGTGTCGATTGGTGTAATTAATGTTCATTTTAATTTAATCTTTCTACTTTTAGTTAACCTATCCAACGCTCCAGGGGCTTTCGTTAGCTTTTGCCTCTTATTAATACCAACTACCATTCAAAATATTTCCAATACATAAAGCATTGACCTTTTCAATAATGAAACTGTGTTAGATTTAGCCATGTGTTCCGGATACAGATATAAATGTCATGTTTTCTACTGGAGAAATAAGTGTGAGAGTTGAGACCTAGACTCCCCCATTGCCAACCAGTAGAAGGCTGATGAAAAAAAGTGACAATTACTTATTCACAACTAAAGTATGCATCAGTTAATAATCATAAAAGAAACCAGAAAGTTGATCTTAGTGAGGTTGATAAAACAAAATTATACCAGAGGAAAACCCAACAAATAGCCACTTTCAGAAAATTACGGTGTATGTCATTGAGTCCATTTCTTACAAAAATACTACATGCCCAAAAAAAGAAACAACTATTATAAATCAACTTTCCACTCATTATTACAAACCAGATTAATTAACAGAAGGCTTTGGCTCAACACAAAGAACAGGTGACTAATATAGCTTCCTTTTGGAAAGTATGTTGTCTTTCAAAAGTTAATGGTGTTCAGGAATTTGAAACCATATATGAGCATCCAAGTTCACATTGACTCTTTTTTAGGCTCCCCCTACTATCAACTCTCAAAAGCATTTTCTTTTAATTTAGCGAGCTGTGGACAAACGTTTACAGATTATGTAGGACACTAATTGATGAAGAAAACATGCTTTTGGAAAGTCGTTCAGGTATCTCAGTTCTTATATTATGCCTTAGAGAAGTTCAGCACATATGAAACTAGGCTAGACTCCAGTGACAAAGGTACCCAAAAGAAAGTAAGTGGGGAACATTTAATAGATTTAACATCAGAAGATGCACCAAACTTTTAGCTAAATTGATTTGTGATCTTTTTCTGTAAGCCTTATCGTTTAATACCATTTAACTGATTTTATATATGAAGATGCTCCAAACTTTAAGCAAAGCACGCTCACTTGTACCATAAATCTCAAATAGGCTATGTATTCAAGAAACGATTTTCTTCCCATTTTTCCACTTTCCATATATTAAAACAAACTGCTCATAATGTGTTATACCTCTGTTTTCCTCTTTGATCCTATAAATTTATGTAAACAAAGTTTCAAGATACATATCCTATGCAAAAGGTTTCTCCTTTGCTGGAACCTTCAAATTTTCATGTATAAAATCTCAGGCAAAGAATCAAACTGAAGAGGAGTTTACTGGAACAGCTTACAGTGAGTCAACAGACATAATCACAATCTATCCTCTAAAAATTCTCACTGTACTTCTCTCATTCATTGATTAACTGCAGAAAAATCCAATGGAGAGAAGGGAAAGGGGGGGGGGGGTCTCTACCTCCTGGATATATTCTTCCCTAGTCCCTCCACACTCTTGCTTTCTTTGCAAGTTTGCCAAAACAACATGAAGACATTTGCTCGACTGTCCTCTTTGTCAGAAAGATGGAACAAACAAATTCCAGTCCTTACTCCTTAAGCCTCTTCTCCCTCCCTCACTTATCCTGATAACCCAAAAATTATAATATATTTCACCATCCACCTCAGTCACCATACATTTAACCCTCCTCATCACCTTTATAGCTTTTCTCTTTAGTCTTTGCCTTGTGACAATTCTTGCCATATAGCAGAGAAGAAAATTCGTACAAAGATGATATATATATATATATATATATATATATATATATATATATAATAAAAATAAAAACAATATAACTACACAGGTTACCCCACACAAACACAAAATAAATAAATAAATAAATAAATAAATAATAGAAGTAATTCCGAAGAGAAGACAAAAGGTTAGCTGTGTAGTGAGAAAACCATCAAAGGTGTGTATGAATAGTCAAAATCCATTAAAAATCTCCATGACCAGGCATATTAATTTCGAACAAACAAGGAAAGAACCCAGCAATGGGGATAAAAATTCGATATACCTTCTCATCACTTGCAACAATAGGGTGCTCAAAGTTATCCTCGTCCTCGTGCCAATGCTTTTTGATAAACTGCTTCAAGAGAACTGCAGCTAGGTAACACATGTTAAAGCCTCCAAAATAATTCAATAGGGGCCACAAGTATGTCAGGAAAATAAAAAGGCTAAATAAAAAAAAAATGGATATGGTGATTATTGATTATTGTGTGTTTCAAAGAAAGCAAATAAGGAATCTGACAAATGCATAAAAAATAAAATAAATAAGCAAAATTTCTAACTAAAATCAGCAATAATCTATGTAATAAATCATAGCAGAACAAAGGTATAGAAAAGATAAACAACAAGGAAGCTTAAAATGTAAGAAAAGGATATTTGGCGCAGTCCCATTGGCAATTCCCTGTTTGCAGCTACTTTGGCCAATGCACTTCCAAAACCTAGAAATTTAGAAAGGGTCAAATTCAGTGTTTGGCCTTGAATCAGCTATTTAATACATGCGTTAAATGGAAGGCGGGAGTAGGGTGAGTCCCACATGCAATAAACTCATTTGAATGCCACAAGAAGATAATTAACTCATTGCTAGAGATGTTAAAGTAGATCTAACATGGATGCAAAAAATTCATACATCTGCAATAAATTAAGCCCTCTTTAGATGATCCACACACAGAAAAGACATAATGACCAAGAAAGCTGATATAACTAACACGGATATGCACACACATAACTACTCCAATCTGAAAGCGCCATTATATCAGGAGCCACTTCATGAGAAAGAATTAGTAACACTACATTTCGATGATGCAGCAACTTTCATGCTTGCTTGCAGAATTCTAGTTATACCTAAAAAGCCCTCATAGGAACATATACATTTCAGGAATTTATGTATCCTGACTTCCTAAGCATATAGTTAAAAATTAAATTTCAGGATAGACATACTAATCTAGAGTATCGTTTCAAAGTTTGGCTACGCATAATAATATCAACACAGAGACAAGGATTATAAAAAACACAAATTGCATATATAATTCTAATCAATAGCCATCAGTAACATGAAAAGGCATACATAAGGGAGACGGTGCAAATTTTTGACTGAAAATTACATCAATACATGTTACACCCTATACCTTTTGCACCTTCACATTTAAATTCTGTCTCATGTTATGGGTGGCTCGTGGTTAACATCAAATTTGTAATTTATCCAATTATCCTTAATGTAATGTCTTACTAATGGTGGTCTCTATGCTAATTCAATGTTATTAAATCTTGCAAAAAAAAAAATTAAATGATGCCATTGATCAGCAAACTTGAGTTAAATTGCATGCAGGCACACGTGCATAGACATTAGACAATTACTAACAGAATTAAGAGGCATTGCACAGCTTAGGAGACCTATCAATAACCACCCAAGGAATAAAAACTAAAAACAAATAAAGGAACTCCTATAAAATTATCAAGTGACTTGAACGCTTAACATATGGGAAGTACTTGATATGATGAGCAGAGAAATTTTACTTCAAAAAAAATCCCATTACTCTAGGGCCTCTAGACTTCCTTTGGTTTGATGGTAAACCTTTTTAATGAATATATTTCCTAGGAAAAACAAAATTATAGATTAGTTTCCTTTGCTTGGTACCTTTAAAGAAAATCTAGAATTCAAGAGAGAAAAGGAACATGGAGATAGGAGGATAGATGGAAGGAGAGAAAGAGGAAAACGAGGTTATCCTACCAGAAAAAGGAATTATTTTCCACCCTCACCCTCAGGAAACCATTTCCCATCTTTTATAAACCAAACAATGGAAATTAGGAAAAATCACTTTTCCTACCAACCAAACACTCACCTACGGATATAGATTAATAATTGTTGAAAAAAGCTTCTCATAACAAATTAATATGGATCCCATCATTGGCTAGGTAAAAATTTCACTTCTCAATGTAAACCATAAACAACTTAGAGATAAACTCTTGCCTTAATGTACTGTATTATCACCCAAAAAATCAAACAAATTTTTCGCCCAAGGCAGGATAAGGATGAAATTTAATTACACAACCTTACCCCCAATCCTCATACAAATAAATGGGTGCTCTTAAGCTTTATCCAATTATTTCAAAGACGCTATTTCAAATATAAGATTATTTGAAAGAAAGATAAATTCTACCTCCAGATTCGAAAACAGCCCTTGCAACGCCGAAAAAGAAAACATAGAACCTAGGCGCATGACAGATTACATCATATCAGGAGAGCCTACTCTATTCTACCTCCAGATTCAAAACTGCCACTAACAAGCATTCCATTCAAATCCTAAGCTCGTGAACATTATACTAAAAAAAAAATTCACTTGCAGCTGACTTTCTTACAAATCCGTCAGCGAGTCATCTTAGTAGGCGATTATATAAGGCACCACCAAATGAAATAACGAATCAAACCAGTAGCCATAATCATAAGGCAGAGAATGCCTTAAGCCAGAGAAGTGATTACTCGGTCCGAAAAGATAAGCCATTAATTCATTACTGAAACCAGTTATACAACTAACCAAAGGCAACATTCTAAACAAACCATTAATGAAATTAGATCAACTATAGTTACATTTCCAGTCAAAATAACAAGTAGGCTGGCATAATGAGGTCATTATGGTTAATCAACTGCAATTTCCACCCGAAACTAATAGTCATGTTGATAGCGTAATTTGAATTAATAACATAACAAAAACACCGTAAATCCAGACCGAGGCAGTATAAGTGAGAAAGAGAAAGATAGCCAACCATGTTGAAGTGACGCTTGAGTGAGAGAAGCTTCGGCAAACGAACGAACTTGGTGATCAGTATCAAGTGTAGCATTCAAACAATTGATAAGCCATTGTTGATCTTGATCAAGGTTAATCGCATTCGCCATAGTTGAAATTCACCAAAATCTCAGCAAATTATCCCTAAACCATTTCAACAAAATTAAATTAAAAATTCAGAAAAAATCGACAATAATCGGAAAAATGAAAAATCGAAGCAATTGAATTAAATAATACTGTAATAATCTGGAATTATAAACCAAAAAAAAAAGAGAGAAATTGAAATTGAAATTGAAATTGAAATTGGAAGAGGAGAAGATTGTGTTACCAGGTTGTTTGGAGGTTTACTAGGGTTTAAGAGAGGGAGTTGCTTTTTGAAATGGAGCAAAACCCGGCAATACACACACTCTCTCTCTTATAATAGTAGCCAGCTGAGATAATCAGTGGCGGGGGTATTTTTGCGTTTGGGAGTTAGAAAGGAGGGAGTTGATACATTGGACAACTCAAAAGTATCCTAAGAAACTATGTGTTGTAATCATTACGTATGCAACTAAGGTTAAATGGTTAACAATTTGTTTGGATCATACATTTGTTGTAATAAAATAAAAGCAGAACAAAAGAGTTTTCGTTTCGTATAGATAAACTTTTCTGCGTTTTACATATGTTTGGATCTCGCACTTTTAGAATGTCATTTCTAAATTGAAACAAATGACTTAATCAACACAATTTTTACATTGGAAATAGGGAAAGGTTAGATACAAGTCATGCAATGTCATATGTGTACTACTTAGTTTGATTGATTTGCTTGTTTACATTGTCTAATGATTTTCTTTAAGTGTTTGTCATGAGAGTGCGTTATAATAGTTAAAAAAAAGGGGGGTAGTGTTAGGTTACAAAACTAAAAAATAAATTTGTTTAATTCTTGGTTGAAACATATATGAGATCATGGCAAAAAGGAGGGATAGAATTGAGAAAAAATTTTACATACTTATACTTTCCTAAAGCAACTTCTGTTTCTATTGAATACAAAATATTTTTGCAACCTACTTCATTAATATCATTAATTTAAAAAAAAAAAAAAAAACTATTTGAATTCGCTTGACCTTAAGTAAAAATAATACTCAAATTACAATAAAAATAATATCTTATTTTTTCAAGTGAGTAAAAAAGATTTAGTTTTATGCTAACCAAGGACATGACTTATTGCTTAAAGGCAACATTTATGGTTGAATGTCTCTTAAACGATACGAAGAAGCATTCGTTAACCTACTTTGCTAACCATGGGTTCCATAAAGTGCAAGAACTAGGAGGTTTGATCCGTGGAAACAACGGTGAGCTCCATGAAGTTTTAGTGACTAATTTTGGGGATTGCTCATGTACTAAGGCGGAGTTGATGGGGGTATTGCGTTGCCAAGCTATTGCTTGAAATGGAATCACAAAATCATCCAATTGATTATTGTTTGAAGTAATTGTTCACTTTAATTTGCTGGTTCAAGTGGAGGGTTTGTCTCCTACCTTTTTCTGATTTATTATCTTATATCTTATATCTTATATGAAATTGATATGGGAGATTTCACTAATCCCTGCTTTGGGAAAGCTAATTGAGAGCAAATTTCAGAACTCATTAGTTTAGGCTAGATATCGACAAAGTTTAAAATACGTTAGGGTGAAAAGTAAACCTCTCTTAGGGCTCTTACAAAGGTGGAAGGTGGAAGGAGAGCCACTAACCAGTTGCCCAATAATTTCATGATACAATACTGAATTAAGAGGTGACCTTATTAATCTTTTTGATACACTTCTTATGTTTATCTAATGGCACTATTGTAAATATAAACAATTGATACATGTGTTTATTGTTTTAATATTCTTAATTCCTTCTTATTTGACTTCTTCCTTTCTCAACATCAAGGGCGAATTCTTCACGAACACTTTATAACATGCTCAAACACCACCATTTTCGACAACTTCACCGCCGAATTAAACGAAGAAATCCTAAGGAGAAAAAGAGATACGGGGGTAGGGTTAACCCCCAAAGGGTAGAGATTTTCCTCCTTCATTAAATGTGCTTGTGAAGTTGTTGGTTTTCCATTAAAGATTTTTGAAATCGAGGGATGGATGAGAGAAATTAAAAGAATAGATAGAATAAAGAGAATGGAAGAAAACCTTAATGGAATATACCCCCTATAAAGACATTTATCAAGTTTATAAACTTATATTTTTTCACTACTTTGTAAATTACATCGTATTGGGTATTTCTTTCATTGATCTTTGTAAAAATTAAAAAATTGGAAGACTACCTTTTCTTTCTCTCCAAAGATAACACACACACACACACACACACACAAAAAAAAAAAAGCCACTCCAATTTTTCAAAATGAGACAGTTAATATTACTAGAGAGTACTAAAGTTTGCGAAAAGTTTCATTTAAGGTACTGAAGTTTCAAAAGTTTCACTTAGAGTACTCTATCCATAAGTGACCTACTACAACAAGTAAACATTTGCAAAAAAAAAAAAGACATAAACTCCTAATCTAAGAGCACCCTTAACCATGAATGGAAAAAATTATTTGCTTTACTATTTACATAAAATAATATTAAAAAATTTAAAGGTTGATGAACAGTGCAATGAACAAATACAAATGGTTTGAAAAAGCGAACGGTTCATCAAAAATTATTTGTCTAACAAAGAGTTGCTTTTGCACCAAAAAGTCACGTGAAACTAGTAGAAATTAAAAAAAAAAAATCAAAAAGGGGAATTTGTGAGATTGTGCCACTTGTCACCAATATGAATGGATGGATTGGTTATTACCTTTACAAATAATTGTAACGTTATAATTTTTGTAACGTTAATAACTTTTAACATATAATTTTTAAAAAAAAAAATTACCAACGGTCATATTTTTTCATTCTCTATAAATAGACACCCATATTGATATAGTTTCGACAACCTCAAAAACTACCTCTTTTTAAACTATAGTTTGTAGCTTAATATGATTTCTTCACAAAACTAGCCAAAAAATTACAAATTATGGATCCAAACTTCCTAATTATGCTTTTAATAATCCAAAACCTCAAACAAAGCGTAAATCCAAAAAAAATCCACAACAAAATCCACCAAATTATAGAATACACCAAGAAAATTGGGTTCAAACCCCCCATAATCACCCACAAAATTCTCCATAAGTAATCCCTCAAAGTTTCACCATGAATTTTGAGGGAAATAGTCAAAATTACCCAACAAGCTTCAACTACGCTCAACCTAGTCAATCAAACTTCTCAACTGAACCAATTAACCAACAAAATTATGGTGAATATGGTTCAGGATGTGGTTATTCTCATCAGTCAACACCCGGAGGAGGCAGGAGCACAGACGAAAATTATGCACTTGATGACGATGCAGACGACGATGATGAGGAGGAGGAATTGGATGTTCCATGCACCCAAATGAACTACACCGATCTCCTAACACAGCCAACCTTCCAATCTGCACCTCATCCCACTCCTAAACCCACTGAAGAGCCCGATAAAAAAATTTGGGATGATGCAGAGACAACTGCTTTAATCTCTGTGTACATGAACACAACCAACGATCAAATTATCGGAACAAATCAAAAATCAAATGTATTTTGGCAAAGGGTTCTAGCGTCCTACGAAGATGCAAGAAAATCAAACCCGAAGGAGATCCCCATCAGAACCGTTGGTAGTCTGAAGGGGCGGTGGTTAAGAATTGCTCCGGCAGTTGTCAAGTGGTGTGGTAGCATCGACAAGGCAAGGATGTGTAGTGGGCAAAATGCTGATGATGTGATTGCTGAGGCCCACAAGATCCATAAGAACTCATATGGGAAGTTCCAGTTCTATAAAGAGTGGCTCCAACTTAAGAAGTGGGATAGATATTGTTCTATTCTTGAGCAAAAAGTTCATGTGTTAGGACGTGGTCGTCCATCAAAGAAGCCTACGATGGTTAATACCCCGGAGAGCGATAGCAGCGGAAAGAGATCAAGGGATGAAGATGGTGGATTAACACCAAATACACCAACAAGTGGAGACGTTTTTACTGATGAGTTTGTACCACGTCCTGATGATTCGAAGAAGGCTAAGTCGAGGTTGAAGGGCAAGGAAGTAACAACTCAAGCACTTGATACTTTCGAATCATTTGGTGACAAACTTAAACTGTACGGCGAGATGAGGGATAAGGCCGTGGACAGAGATTTGGAAAGGCTCGAGTTGGAGAAGAAGAAAGAAGCTAGAAAACAAAAGCAAATTGAGCTAAAGGAGAGAAACATTCAGATGCAACAATATAAAATGAATTGGGACCTGCTCCAACAATTGCTTGCCAAAGAAGTTCGTGCCCCGTGGGAAGATCAGATGATCATCGAACTCCAAGAATACCTCAGCAAATTTAAGGCATTTTAATGTTATGTTATGGAATAGGTTGCATTGTGCTAGTGCTGTTTTAAGTTGTTTTCCCTTCAATTTATTCAGTTTCAAGTTGGGTTAGTTGTGTTATGTTTAGTTTATGTGTTTGTCCTTCGAAACGGTATTGTATGTGTAATGAATAGTATTGCAACCATGTAATAAAATTTTAAATATTTTATCGTTTTATGTGTGAAACTTTGTTCACGTGATTTGTTAAGTCAATTTCAATAAGTACTTTTTAGAATCCAATTGATTTGACGACTCTTTTAGAATACTTTTGCAGAGTCTATTAATACTTTTCAGAATCCATTTATTAAATGTAATGGTCTTCCATGTGATGACTTTTCAGAATTCATTGAGTTGTCAAATCTACATAAAGTTTATTTAATTTTCATGTGATGCACTTGTGCATTCATATCATTGATCATTTTTATATAAGATCCAAACTACGCCTACAACCTTTCTTCATCAAAACCCTAATTTAATTCTGAAACTAACAATTTTTACTCTTTCATATAACACAAGAAGAAAATGGATTCCTACAAAATTAATATAAGCTCCATTGATAGCTCAGATGAGGATAGAAGGGAAGCATTAGCTCGAGAAGAGAGGGAAATAGATGACATGATTGACACAATCACCTCCACTTACCTCCCAATCCTAGCCTCGATGGCAACACCTCCACCACGACGCTCGCGCAAATCTGTTCCCCGAGGTGATAGATGACGTGAAGAAGGTCATGTGCGGTTGTACAATGATTACTTTGCAGAAGTTCCAGTCTACCCAAGTGACCTTTTCCGACGTAGATTCCGAATGCACAAGCATGTCTTTGAACATGTTATGTATGCAGTAACAGAAAATGATACATGGTTCCAACAAAAGAGAGATGCTACTGGCCGTCTAAGCTTGTCTCCACTACAAAAGTGCACTGCAGCAATTCGGCAGCTGTCTTACGGTTTAGCCGCCGACGCTTGTGACGAGTACATAAGAATAAGCAAAAGTACTGCGAAATTGGCATTAGAAAAGTTTGCCGAAGGTGTCATCAACCAATTCGGTGATCAGTACTTGAGACGCCCAAATGGTCATGATATGGAAAGACTGCTACGAATATGGAGAGGAGCATGGATTTCCAGGCATGATCGGAAGCATTGATTGTATGCACTGGGAGTGGAAAAATTGTCCGACGACATGGAAAGGACAATATCAAGGCAGAAAAGGGGTAGCCATTCTTATATTAGAGGTCGTTGCTGATCGAGACTTGTGGATTTGGCATTATTTCTTCGGGATGCCGGGTTCTTACAATGACTTAAATGTGCTACACCGATCTCCTGAATTTGAGGATGTGTTGGAGGGGTGTACATGATAAGTCTATTTTATATATATTTTTATTTCCCGTCCCACGGTCATATTTGTGCTTATTTGAGCTCTGCGGAGCTATTTTTCCTACTAATATATGTTTTCTAGTGTTTTTGTAGAGTTGGTATTATTTTGTAGGAATTTGCATTTTTATGACAATTCCCGAGCTTATTGAGCCACTACAAAGACAATGGAGTCGGATCGTATTTTATGAACAAATATTTTAAGCCCAAGACCGAGTTAGAGGAATTTAATAATTCGGTGATTAAGGGCTCAATTGGTGAAGAGTCCAAATTTTACAAGCTGGTATTACAGCCAAGTCCAAAGAGGAGGTTGGGATCAAGTTTTGAACCAGACCAATTCAAGTTACAAGATCCAATCTCGCGAGTCTGTTGGGTGTAAGGATAGCGGGCCCGATCGAAAGACTGATTATTGCTGCTACTTTGATTCGGTTGGACCTTGATGCAAAACAACCCAATAGCTTTGGTTTTTACGTAGGACGTGACTTGCCTCTTAGACTTTACAAAGGATTTTGTTAGGAGTTGGATTGTTAGTGGGATTGGTGGCCATTAACTTTTCTTTTATATAAAGGGGAATAAGGGAGTACGGTAGTAGCAGGTAGTTTTAGATGAGTTTTTTTAGTTTAGTTTTTAATTATTGTTATTACTTTGTTTTATGTTTTTATTCTCTTTCTCTCTCTAACTTTTCTCTCTCTCCCTTAATTAAACTCTTAGTATTATTTTCTCTCTTGTTTCTCTCTCTACAACTCTTGGTTTAATCTCAGGTTATTTATTTTCTTTCTTTCATCACGTCTCCTTTAATTGCTTTGTTTAGTTTATATTTAATTATGTCTGAGTAGTTTTATTTCTAGGGTTTATGGGGATCTAATAAATGATATGAAGGGGTAATTTTGTGATTGTTAATTATCAATGCTTGGTTAATTTCCTATTGATTGATTTAATGCTATGCAATTAGGTTTGGCCAGATTTAATTGTATGAGTTTAGCAATATTAATTCGAGATTCGACAGATGAGAATTGATGTTTAGGCTTAGTTTCAATAGGCGGACTAATTTATAAATGGTTAAGTCGAGATTCGACAGATGAGATTTAATACCGGTAAATTAACTCTGTGATTATAATACGTAGCGAAAGCCCTTTATAATCTGATTAATCAATGCTTGATGATTGCTTATTATGATTTGCCCTGGAATATTGTTTATTAGTGAACATATGCCCTAGGTCTTTTAATATTTGATTTCTCCCTACTTTATTTCCCTCAATCTTATTCTTCGTAGTATAGAATTTATTCACAATAATATTGGTTACTTAGATAATTTAGATTATAATAATTAATTAGGAGTAGAAAGACTTGTTTCCCTGTGGAGTTCGACCCTACTTCCCTATCTACTTTAGTTAGAGGACTTAGGTAATTACTTTTGATTAGGGGATACGACTTTACCCTGTCAGTACACCTCTTGTGAACTTTTTGTTAATGGTCATCAATATAACAAGGGATATTATCTTACTGACGGTATTTATCCCAAGTGGGCTACTTTTGTGAAGTCTATCACTAGTCCACAGACTCAGAAACATAAATTGTTTGCACAACATCAAGAAGCAGCGAGGAAAGATGTTGAGCGAGCTTTTGGAGTTTTATAATCTCGATTCGCTATAATTAGAAAACCATCTCTTGCTTGGGATGTTCAAATACTTCACAAAATTATGTTTTCGTGCATCATATCGCACAACATGATCGTTGAAGATGAACGAGATACATATTTGAACAACTCTGACACATTTCACTTCATTGACAACCAAAGTGGTTCTAACGAGGATGCTTTCGAGTATCGTAATGAGCGTGTAGTAGACATCAATATATATTTGCAACGAAGAATAGAGATTGAAGATCAACAAGCTCACTTTGTAATCCCCCGTATTTTTAAATATTTTATAAATGAAAATTTATTTTATTTATAATATTTATTTGTTATTTTTCATAATTTAATTTCAAAAGTTTCAAATTATTAATCTGGGTCAAAAATTATTTGAACAAATTATTTTATGCACCTTTATTCTACAATTTATGTCCAATCACACAAGCCTAACCCATTTGTTTACTTAATCGACCCATTATTTTTATGAGGCTCAATCTTCTTATTTACCCTACAATTCTCTCCTATAAATACCCCATGAATCCCTAAAAATTTCCCACACAAAAAATTTAGTCTTATTTTCTTGCTCCTTAGTTTTATTAATTTGTGTAATTATAATTATTGATTTATGGGTTTTGATTTTATTGTTTGAAATTAATTTAATTAGTATCAAATTGTATTTTGATGATTAAACTTTATAATTTCAGATTTTATAAGTGTCATAATTTTCAAATTTTGTAAATTTTATAACATATGGTTTTTAATTATTGAAAATCATGATTTTAGGGGTTTTATGAACAATTGATTTAGGGCTTTTATAGTAATGATGTTTTGAAATTTTGGTGATTATAACTAATGATTATTTTAACTTAATTCTAGATTATTTTGAACACTTAAATTCGGGTTTTAATTTTTAGATTTCCGTTCGTTAATATTAATCCCGTTTTAATCCCGATCAGGTTCTGAACTCATCCGGATTTGATAAAAAAAAAGTAGTGTTTTTCATGTGGAAACAACTTTTTAAGAAAGACTCACTACCTTTTGTAGTGAGCACCACCCTCTCGTAGCCAAATTCAGCCTCTAAATATGATTTTTGGGCAGTTTTTGATTTTACCGAAGTTTTTTTATACTTAAAATATTATCCTTGAGTTAGATTAATAAAATTAAGGATAATTTGCTAATTACTACCGCAAGTTAATACCACTTTGTAAATTACTACCGCAAATTAAAAAAGTTATGAATTACTACCGCAAAATTTTTTAAGACGTTGCGATTACTACCAAACCCCCATTAAACCCAACTATGACGTCATTATATCCCTTTAACCCGTGTTTGACCATGGTTAAGGGATTTAACCAGCCCCCCCAAAAAAGAAAATGGTTTAGGGATATAATGACGTCATGGTTAAGGGCTTTAACCATGGGTTAAAGTGATATAATGACGTCATAGATGGGTTTAATGGGGGGTTTGGTAGTAATCGCAACATCTTAAAAATTTTTGCGGTAGTAATTTACAAATTAGTATTAACTTGCGGTAGTAATTGACAAATTTTCCTAAAATTAATTATGTTTAAAGTTAATTAAGCATAAATATATGTTTTATTGAAGTTTTAAGTGTTGAAAATGGTTTCTAAGTATTACTTTTGATGTTTTATAAAGAGGGTTTAATCACCCATTAAAAAGGGAGATTATTAGGGGTTTTTAAATAATTCTAAGATTTTTATTAAACTTTAAACTTGCTGTAATTTCACGTATAAGAGTGTATTTTAAGGTTTTTATGATGAAAATTTAAAGAACTATATATAAGCCTTTAATTTTAACTAAAGGGAAGGTTTTAAAGTGTTGTTTGATTTGGATTTTGAAGGTTTTAAAGTAAGTTAGTATTGCTGTAAATTTGATTGATTGGGTATTGATTGAAATGTTATTGTTTGGTTTAGGAGAGGAGTTTATTAAAGGTGATTTCTAGATAATGGAGACATGAGGTTTTTCTTTTATTGATGTTCCAAATGGGACATGGGTTGGACAACCTTGTCTATTGCTAAATCCAATGAAATAAATAAATGAGTTAGTTAATATCAATTAGTGAGGTCTTAATAAATTTGATAATTGAGTCATGAGTTGAGTCTGTATTTAATGATGCTTATGCTTGATTATTAGTAGCATGTTAGGTATTTTCTTAATTTATTTCGCAGCTTGTATGTACTCAACTTTGCTGATTGCGTGTTTTTGTGTGTGTCTTCCTTTGGTCATGGCCTTCGCCCCTGAATGACCCTGTGACGATCCAATTTTTACACTTGTAATATTTGGGAGCAGATTAATCACAGGTTCTTACATACGCAACATTCACATAAGGGTTGTGGGATTTTGAGTAGAGAGTTGGTTATTATTCGCAGTTTATTTCTTTTCATAAGTTTGAATTTATTTAAACTCTGGTTTTATTTATTTACTACTTTTGTGGGGTTTTGAATAAGGGCCTTAATGGTTCCAAGTTGTATGATTCAATTTGGTTTTGGTTAAAACCCCTTTTGAAACTTATTTATAACTAAGTTAGTTTTTCCGCTGCTAATTTTTGATATAGGCTTAACGTTTGAACACGTGGCGGTAGCACGCCAGTAATTCTCTTGGAATTGTTCAGGTTATTCACAGGTTTTAAGAGAGAATTATTGGGGTGTTACACACTTGCAATTAAAACACGATTTGGTTGAGCACATTTGGAAGAAATTTAGGCGTAACGAGAACAATAACAATTAGATTTCAATTATGTTGTTAAGTATGTGTTATGTCTAATGCACTATGGTTGTTTTTTCTTTTTTTTTTTACAAATTTTCTATTAATAAAAAATTTGTATTTTGTATCTTTTAATTAACAAAGTAATTAATAATGCTAATTATGCTAATCGCAGACAATTAACAACTCTAATTACGATAATTTAAGCTAAATTTGCACGCAAATAATGCTAATTGTAATTTCATAATACTAAAACGTAACTAATTACGGTAATAACAATAAATTACATATTAAATGAGATTAATATATTGTTAATTATGTATGTATTTTGATTTTTAGTAAAAAGATAAATTGAGGTGGGGTAGGTGAATAGTAACATGAACAATTGTTTATTGGTTCATGGTTAAGAAGAGGATGTTGGAAATTATTTGTATGGTTTATGTGTATGAGAGAGAAAGTATTTATTTATGTGAATAGTAATATGAACAATTTTTTATAAGTTCATGAATAAGGGTGCTCTAACTTATAACATTTTTTTTTCACCTAATTTAACTCTTATCTAAAAAGATAATTAAAAACAATTCAATCCAAAAAATTCATTCAACTGGATATAACTCCCACACAGGCACAAACACCACATTGTTACTGTCGCCTTCGTCACCGTCGCCGTCACCGCCGCATCTAACCACCACCATATGTTGCCGCTGCATCTACCACCACCGTCAACGTCGTCGCTGCTCATCACCATATTACAATGTCGTCGCCTGAGTGTTCCTTTCTCCCTCTTTTTTTTTAATTTTTTTTTACATTGTTTAGATTTGATGGTTTGAGGGGTGAATTGGCTAGTTTGGGGTGGTTTATGTGTGGTTAAAGGTGAGTACGGGTAGTTTTGGGTTGGTTTAGGGTGAGTGTCGGTGGTTATGGGGCCTGAGTGAGGGTGGTTGTTTCGGAGTGGTTTATGGTGAGTGTTGGTGGTTTTGGGTGGTTCGGCTGAGGGCCGGGGTTTGGTTTCGATGTAATTTGAGTTGAGAGGAGGTGGTTTTAGTGTCGTTGGGGTTGAGAGAGGGTGATTTTAGGGTCGTTCGGGCTAAGAGGGGGTGGTTTTTGGGTTGTTTCGAGGTGAGTGTGGGTGGATTCTAGGTGGTTTGGGCTGAGAGGGGGTGGTTTCAGGCAGCCGTTGGGCTATTTTGGTGGGGGGGGGGGAGGGTGGTTGCTGTTGGTGGTGCCGGAGTGGTGGTGTCCTATTCATTAGTTAAATTCACTATCTCTCTCATACCCTTAATTATCTACTAGAATTATTGAAGAACACCAAACATTAGTACCGACTGCATTTATGTCAATATTTTATTTTATTTATTTTTTTTTTCTTGCAAATGTCTACCTGTTGTAATAGGTCTCTTATGGGTTGAGTACTCTAAGTGAAACCTTTGAAACTTCAATACATTAAGTGAAACTTTTTGCAAACTTTAGTACCCTCTAGTACTCCCTCCGTCTCTAAAGTACATTCCTATATCTAAATTTACACGGGAATCAAGGAATTTGGAGCAACCTTAAAAGTTAAAACCCATGATTAGAAAGTACAATGGGAATTACAAGACATTTATTGTTGTCTTTGAAAAAACAAAACAGAATGTTATAAAATGCCTACACATGTCATTAATCCTTTGAAAAGAAAAAGGACCAATCACATTTGTTTATGAGAAATAAAAGAATCAATCAATTTCAATTATTGTCCAATGTGCTACACATGGATTGCAATTGTTCACATAGAACAATCAAAATATTGATTCTGTGCAACCATTAATTGCAAAACGGAAAAGTAATTAAAGTAATGTCACATCATACTGATTTAAGGATAATTTGGGGAATAAATTTGGAGAATAAAGATAATTTGATTAAAATTCACTTATATATATATATATATATATATATAAGGAAAGTAGAAATCTAATTTTGAAACCCAAACAAAAACAGTAGAAATGTAACATGTAACTTTTTATTAAATCGGATGTTCACTATTTTTAGTGAACGTCGGAAGGATGATGTCAGTTTGGTGGCCAAATTTTGGCAAGGAAAAAAAAAATACTTCCTCCGTTAATGGTTAATTGCAATAAAGGAATATTTTATATCTCACAAATAATACCCCTTTGTTGTAATTAACCATTAACGGAGAAAGTATCTTATTTTCTTTCCTCTTTATTCAACTGCTTCTCTTTCTTCTTCAATCTTCTTTTTCTCTCTCCTCTACTTCTCATCTTCTTTTGTTTTTTTTCTCTCTCCTCTTTTGGCGAAAATATTGAATTTCTCTGCATTACTCATTTTTTTTCAATTTTGTAAATTTTTAGTGTGTTGATTTTTAGGATTTTTCGTGATGTTTTGTAGTTTCTACAATGATGAAGAAGAATAGTTTGGTTCCGGTGATAATCGATGATGTTGATGTTTCTGTTCTAGGTTAGTGTTTGTACTCTTTTTTTGTAAATTTTTCGTCGCTTTGCTCGGTGAGATGGTCGGAAATGGTGGAATCAGCAATGGTTTCAGCTCGATGGGCGTCGCTAACGATGGTTCCGGCGGTGACTGTTGATTTGTTTGAGTGATTGTATAGTTTTTTCATGACTATTGTTAATTTTGTGTTTGATTTTGATACTCTGTTTTGCATATGTAGCTTAATTAGTTTTGTAAAAAAAAAAGGGTCACTTTTGTGGAAAAAAAGTCACCTTTGTGAAAAAGGATTATTTTTGTGTTAAAAAATGATCATTTTTGTGAAAAAAATGGTCACTTTTGTAAAAAAAAAAAAGTCACTTTTGTGAAAATATGACACTTTTGTAAAAGAAAAAGGGTCACTATTGTATAAAAAATGGTCAATTTTCGCAAAATATTCAATGTACAATAAAATTATTGTAAACCGGAGTCATGCAAAAGTTTTTGAAATGTAACTAAGGACGGAGGGAGTAATATTAACTCCAAAATGAGAAGAGGTCAATTTTGTAAAATTACCGACAAAACCCAAAACATACTGTACTCTGTTTCTCATGAAACATGGGAATTTATCCAATTGAAACCTGAAAAGATGATTTGAAAGAGAGAGAAGACAATTTCGCGCAAAGGGCAGGGAAGCCATAAATGTAGAGCAAGAACACTAGACCTTAATTTCAATCAAAGCTTTGAAGCTTTATCAATGGAGTGGGAGTTCCATAACGTCCAATCAGGTAAATTTTTCTAATTTACACATACATATGCTCTGCAACTACTTAATTTTATACAATTCTATCAACTCATTGTTTTATTTGTCAAAAATGTACTTCAATATTGTATAATTATACTTCTGTAATTTAAGATTTTCTAGTGCTAACCTCTAATTCATATGATCATATAACAATAACTTTTAATTGGTCTGCAAATTCGGGTTTCGGCCTCTCCGAACAGCCTATAAAAGATCCAAGTTCAGGATAATTGGGAGCTAAGAGAGAGAATAGACTCTAAAAATCACTTATATAGTTAGAGTTAGAGTTCATACTCAGAGCGTTGGACTAATCATTAGAGTAAAAACATAATTAGCCTCTCAAAATTTATGTTATTACACCGACCGACTAGGTAATTATAGAACCGGTTATACTACCTCCGTTTCTTATTATTTGCAATAAAGGAATAATTTATTTACAACAAAATTGAGGTAGTAAGTTGCGGTAATAGGAAAGAATTAGAGTACTTTGGCAAGCTAAGTAACATCCTAATGTCTGTAGTAATGCAAACTCTTAGTCAAATTTGCATTGTTCTTCATAAACATCCATACCAATCAGACACCAAATAGTCAAATATCACTTACTGGGTTGGTGGTAATGGTACTTATGGATGATAATTCAGGTTTGTTCAGAAAAAGAGACAATTTAGTGCAAGCCATTTTTATGCAAATTCATTTCTATTATCACTTGTCAAGCTTGTCGTGAGTGCTAACCGATAATAGGAGATGGAGAGTGTGTGAGAGACCTCCTATGTTCTAGTGATGAAAATCATCTCTGTGTTACATACTTTCCTTATTCCTGCTGAGATGTGCCTTTGTCTAACCAGCTAAAATCTTATAATATAAAGCTTCATGATTCTCAATTTAGCGTGAGATCATTAATATGTTTTGATATCCACATTGAAACTGATGGGGAGAGGATTGAAAGGTTTAAATTAAATCTGTTATGGACTATTCCTGAGCAGTTGTAATTAACGCTAAAACAATTGAAGGCTGAAAGCTTGGTTGATTTTTAATTACTGATAGTTCGAATTACACAGGATAAGCATAACTTCAGGTTATGAATCTCTAATGGCTTGAGGCCACAACTCTCTAAGGTACTACTCAATTTCTGGATGATCCCTTAACATACCAAACATACTACTTATACTAGAATGCAGCTTAACTTGTGATACTAGACTAAATTAGAAAAACATTAACTAAACACAAAGAAACTAGCTTGCTTTCTTTCCTTCCTTCATTCTTAATGGGATTTGTCTTCTACTCAATTAGAGTTATCCTGAAGAGGGGTACTGCCTTGTATTGCTGCTCCTTCTTGACCACGATTGACCTTCCTTCTTCGAGCATAGACTTTTATAGGCGGCTCTATCACATTACCCGCCGGCTCGAGATTCACCTTGTCCTCAAGGTGGAAAGTCGGAAATCGCTTTGCAATGGCATCCCCATCCTCCCAAGTAGCTTCGAACTGAGGTAGCCCCTTCCACTTAATTAGGACTTCCACACGCGACTTTCCCCCACTTGCCTTGTGACGGACCTCCAATAGCTCTTCCGGTTCCGCTGCCAATTCCATCTCCGGGGATATTTGCTCCGGAATTGAAGGATTAACCCAGACATCCCCTACGGCTCGTTTTAATTGGGAAATGTGAAACACGGGGTGAATTCTGCTCGACGGTGGAAGCTCGAGCTTGTAAGCAACCTTCCCAATTCTTTCCACCACCTTAAAGGGACCATAGTATCGGGCTGCCAATTTCTCGAACGGCCTCTTCGCTAGTGAGCGCTGTCGGTACGGCTGTAATTTCAAGTATACCGTTTCCCCGATTTCAAATTGTTCATCCCTCCGCTTTCGATCATCGTTCTGTTTCATAATTTGTTGGGCTCGGCTGATATTATCCTTCAACCCAATCTCTCTCTCGGAGCCAGCCCTCCAAACTATCCACCGGAGTTTGACCCGTTCCCAACCTCCATAACTTCGGTGGTTCACGGCCGTACACCACCTTAAAGGGTGACATCTTGGTGGTGGTGTGGGGAGACGTGTTGTATGAGAACTCGGCCCATGGTAACCATTTAGCCCATTGCTTGGGCTGACTTGAAGCAAAACACCGCAAGTATACCTCCAATCCCTTATACACGATTTCCGTCTGGCCGTCGGTTTGAGGATGGTAAGATGTACTCCGCTTCAATTGTGTTCCTTGTAAACGAAATAGCTCCTTCCAGAACAAGCTCATAAAGACCCGATCCCTGTCCGACACTATGCTAGCCGGGAACCCATGATGTTTCACCACCTCGCGCACGAAACAATCTGCCACCTTGAGCGCACTGTAAGGGTGTTTTAACCCTATAAAGTGAGCATATTTAGAGAGCCGATCGACGACCACGAGAATGGAGTCGAACCCCTTGGACAACGGCAACCCGTCTATGAAGTCCATGGAGACGTCCTCCCATATGGCTTCCGGAATCGGCAACGGTTGCAACAGCCCTAACGGGCTTTGCTGTGACACCTTGTTTCGTTGGCACACTGTACACCTTCTGACATATTCGCCCACGTCTTTACGCATACCAGGCCAGAACCAGTCGGATGACAACCGGAGGTAGGTTTTAACCTCGCCGTCGTGACCTCCGGTGGGAGAGTCATGATGCTCGTGAAGGAGAGTAGGAATGATGGCTGAGTTACTGGGTATTGCAATGCGCCCTTTGTATAGGACTCGTTCTCCTTCTAATGTGAATCCCTTTAAGTGCTCCTCTCCCTTTTCAAGGCCCATCTTGATCTGGCCCAACCATGGGTCTCTTTGGATTTCCTGCTCCAACTCGTGCCAATTAATGTGCTGGCAGAACACTAAGGTCTTTAATTGGGCCGTGGGCTGCTCTTTTCGTGATAATGCATCAGCTACCTTATTAGATGGGCCTGGGTTATGTTGGACCTCAAAATTGAAGCCAATAAGCTTCCTAACCCATTTCTGATAATCCCCTGCCACCTCGGTTTGTTGCGTAATGTACCTTAGGCTTTGTTGATCCGTGCGAATCACAAACTTCCGCCCAAGCATATAATGCTTCCACCTCACCACGGCTAAGCACATAGCCATCAACTCCTTCTCGTAGATGGATTTATCACGGGCCCTAATTCCCAAGAGTTTGCTATAGAATGCAATGGGCCTATTCTCTTGCATTAACACGACCCCCAACCCGAAACCCGAAGCATCGGTTTCCACCACGAACTCCTTGCTAAAGTCCGGCATGGCTAAAACCGGGGCGGTGGTCATAGCCTTTTTGAGCCTTTGGAAAGCTCTCGTTGCCTCCTCGGTCCAAGCAAAGCTATCCTTTTTAAGTTGGGCCATTAATGGGCCTGCAATGTGGGCATAACTAGACACGAACTTGCGGTAATAGCCGGTGAGTTTGAGGAACCCACGTAATTCCCTAAGATTTTGAGGAATGGGCCACTCTAAAATGGCCCTCACTTTCTCTAGGTCCATGGCAACCCCTTGATGGGATATGACATGGCCCAAATAAGCAATCTTGGGCCTTCCAAACTCGCATTTCTTCATATTAGCAAAGAGTTGATTTTCCAGAAGACACTCTAACACTTGTTGTAGGTGGATCAAGTGTTCTTGCTCATCCTTACTATAAATAAGGATGTCGTCGAAGAAGACTAGCACAATTCGACGTAAAAAAGGTTGGAAAAGATCGTTCATCAACGATTGAAAGGTGGCCGGAGCGTTGGTTAGCCCAAAGGGCATAACCAAAAACTCGTAATGACCCTCATGCGTTCGAAACGCGGTTTTGTGAGTATCTTCCCTCCTTACCCGGATTTGATGATATCCGGATTTAAGGTCGAGCTTATAGAAAACCCGAGCTCCGTGCAACTCACCAATAGCTCATCGATAACCGGTATCGGATATTTATCCGGTACGGTCTCTTTATTTAACGCCCGGTAGTCTACACAAAATCGCCATTACCCGTCTTTTTTTTTTACCAAGAGAACCGGGCTAGAGAACGGGCTAGTCGAGGGTTGGATTATGCCGGCCTCTAACATTTCTCCGATCAACTTCTCAATCTCGCTTTTCTGAATCTGAGGGTACCGATACGGTCGGACACTGACCGGGTTGCTGCCATCTCGGAGTATTATGGCGTGTTCACGCCCTCTGCTTGGTGGAAGCCCAACCGACATTTCAAATACCATGCGATACTGTGTCAGCAGCCCACTTAGAAAAGAAGGCACTTGGGCCTCTTTCACGGGCCCATGGTTGTCATCCTCTTGATCCAACTTATTGATCTCAACCCATACCCTATTCTTCTCCTTACTCAAGCTCCTGAACATGGCTTTCAGTGAAATTTGAGTCTTCTCTAAGGTAGGGTCGCCGACCAACGTCACCGGCGTTCCGGCCAGGGTGAATTTCATAATATGAGTACGCCAATTAGTGGCGACGGTGCCTAGTTTCTCGAGCCATTGCACGCCTAATATCAGATCGGCCCCTCCCAAGCTCAAGGGTAGGAAGCTCTCCTCCACCTTGACGCCACCCTCAAGCTCCACCACTACGCCTTCACACCTCCCCTTTCCTTTGACCATATCTCCATTTCCGAGCGCCACTCCGAATTCACTATCCCCCATCACTGCGAGCCCGAGCTCTCCTACCAAATTGGTAGAAATGAAATTGTGCGTTGCGCCCGGATCTATCATCACCACCACTCCCCTTTCCCGGATCTTACCCCTTAATTTCATGGTTTTTGGGTTGGAGAGACCAACCACCGAGCATAGGGAAACCCCTATGGCCGCCTCCCCTAGATCGGTGTCGCCATCTTCGCACCCAAAGGAATCTTCAGCTTCGTCGTTCCCCCCGTCTCCGAACACCACCAGAACACTCGCGCTTACACCGGTGGCCAACGCTCCACCTTTCATCACAGCGGAAACATAGCCCTTTCGACCGCCGGTCCTGGTACTCCGATTCAGTGAGTCGTCGCGTTCCTCTCGTGTTCTGGCTGCCTGTTGGGTTGTTGGGCCGACCTAAGTTAACGGACCCCTGAGACTCCGGGGCCTTGGGCCAAGTTTTACTTGGGGCTGCGGAATTTGGCACCCCAAATGTCTGGACTAGGCCTCCCTTGTTGATGGAAGAGCCAGCTTGGCTGGAGCCGGCAACCGAGGATCCCACCTGGACTCCTCCCCTCCATCCCCCAACGGTTCTCTGCCCTTGCTGCACCCTGTGTTTCTCCTCGATACGCCTAGCTACTTCCATAGCTCGTTCTAAGCTTGATGGATTTAGCAAACGTAATTCCGACTTCACCGCCCCTTTCAACTCGTTGATAAATTGGCCGAGCATAATGCTTTCGGGGATGTCCTCTAGCGGGGCGGCCATCTCAATGAACCGTCGGTGGTATTCTGCCACCGTTCCGTCTTGAGTCACCGCAAGCCATTGCTCGTGGAGGGTGCCCGAATGGGAAGGGCGGAACTCGTTAAGAACTCGCTGTTTAAGGTCTGGCCACCCATAGAAAGGTTGCCGCTTTTGCTCCCATTGGAACCATTTGAGAGCGGCGCCGTCCATGGCGACCACCGCTGCTTCCACCTTCTCCCTCTTAGTTAATTTGTAAAATTCGAAGTACATTTCAGCCCGTGCGGTCCAATTATCTGGGTTAGTCTCGTCGAATACCGGCATCTCCAGTTTCCGATGCTTCCAATGGCCTCCTCCTCTGCCACCGTCCCCGCCACCTCGCCAGCGCCAGTCGCCTTGGTCTTGCTGCTGCCATTCCTCCTCCTCATACGGCCTCTTCCTGACCGGCGTAGGAATGGGCCTCATCTCCAGGTCTGGGCTGTTCTCTCCCACCAGCGGAATGGCATGTTGTTGTGGTTGTGGCTGGGCTTGCTTCGCCTTCTCCATCTCTTCCTGTAGTTTGGAAATTTTTCCGCGGTCTATGGCGGCCTGAGTATCCACGGTGCTCCGAAAACGATCGACGCGGTCTTCCATTTTGTAAACCGCCACGGCGATAGCCTCCTCTGTCTTCTTTCGATCCTCTTCAATTTTCTTGCGTTCCTCCTCCTTTGCGGCCTTCACCGCCGCTGTAACCACCCTCGTGAGGTTATCATCGGGGATTTGGAGCTTCTCGTTGAGGGTCGCCATCTGGGTTTTCAGGCCCTCCAACGTCTCTTCCATGGCCATCAAGCTCTGTTGAGCATTTGCTTCCATTTTTTTTTTTATTTTTTTTTTTGAATTCTGGTACGGAGTGGTGTTTTCCGGCTGCCGGCAGTCGCAGGACCACCGCTCTGATACCAAGTTTGTTATGGACTATTCCTGAGCACTTGTAATTAACGCTAAAACAATTGAAGGCTGAAAGCTTGGTTGATTTTTAATTACTGATAGTTCGAATTACACAGGATAAGCATAACTTCAGGTTATGAATCTCTAATGGCTTGAGGCCACGACTCTCTAAGGTACTCCTCAATTTCTGGATGATCCCTTAACATACCAAACATACTACTTATACTAGAATGCAGCTTAACATGTGATACTAGACTAAATTAGAAAAACATTAACTAAACACAAAGAAACTAGCTTGCTTTCTTTCCTTCCTTCATTCTTAATGGGATTTGTCTTCTACTCAATTAGAGTTGTCCTGAAGAGGGGTACTGCCTTGTATTGCTGCTCCTTCTTGACCACGATTGACCTTCCTTCTTCGAGCATAGACTTTTATAGGTGGCTCTATCACAAAATCCCAGCTAACATGAATGCCTAGCTCCCTCTTCCCCACTGGCAGGGTAGCCGGGTAGGATGTAGGAGCCAACAGGGTTAAGATGTATACCAATCTTAGTTGCAATGATGCGGAGTAGTGGAGGTTATCTCCTTAGAGCATCTTCAATGGTATACAAATAGGGACTTGCTTGGAAATTAATTAAAATTATAAGCATGTAGTTTACCATTGGAGTGGAAAATTGATGCAGCTAGATTAAGCTACGTTGCTTGATTTTTCAATGATAGTATCTCCTATTAAACATATGACATGTGTATAATAAAACTATTTTAATTATTTATATTTCTTCCAAGCTACAGTATGCTATAATTAACCATTGGAGCACTTTGTAGCTACAAAATATATTAACTCCAATATTTGATGTGGCAAGGTAAGCTACAAAGTATTGTAGCTTACCATTGGAGATGCTCTTAAAGCCTTTATCCATTTGAAAACAACCATCTACCATTTAAAATAAGATTATCTCCTATTCTTTCATATTCCTTTTTTTTTTCTACCCTGATTTCCTTTTCTTCCCACAGTATTCTTTCTAAAATCAGCAAGCTCTGACCCACATCTGCTATCCATCCGTTTAACCTTTTATAGTCTCAACTCTTAAACCACACCATCCTTCTGCCAGCATAGCTATCTCCTTGTGCCGCTTGTTGCTTATCCAATCTCATTGTGCAACTTGTTGCATATCCAGGACTTCTCTCCCGTTACTCATTCACTGATCAACTGTCACAGTCTTTCCCCAACTGTAACTCTTCTCAGCAGAAAAAAACTGCTTTCATTTTTTACATCTCATAAATCAAAGCCTTTTAATTTTATTAACATGAAATGGGATAATATTGAGATAAACTCTGTTTTAAATAGTATTAATGACTTTAATATTTATCATCAATCTCTGTCAATTATTATTTACGCTTTTTATTCAATACCAAGAGAACTTAAATCAACAGCCTGAGCTCTTGTTATGTTTACCCTCATGTAGACTCCTCTTTCTGTTTATTATACATTGATGTGGAGAGAACAATTGTTAGATTATAGGCTATTTTAGTAGCCTTATATATTGATTTATGTATTTTGAGTTTTTGACTTTGTCTAGTTATAAGACAATACTTGTAGCCTGCAACTTCAATATCTAAAAGGAAAAAAAAAAAATACAGTTACCAACTTCAAAGTTCAAATAGTCCAAATGAGGATAATTACATGAGTGCACATAGGTTCACAATAATTTTTACATTGAATGGTAGGTGTAGACTAAGTTCTTTTGGTATATAAGGTGCCAGAAGGGCGGTGATGTGTACCAGGTCATGGACATCACGTCTATATGACTTTATTATCTAAGCTAGTTGGCATCCACCATAAGTGCAGTAGTATAGACTAAGCTAGTAGCAATGATTTTTTCAACCACAAAATAAATTTTTATAATGATATGTATATTACTGAGTAAATAGTTAGGGGTGGTGAATAATATTCATTTCAGGAAAATGCTCTCTTGATGTTGTACATGTTAAAGAAACTCCAGTGATGGTTCTGTAAAATGGTTGATAAAGCAAGTTTTAAATATGATCATGAGTTTTGAAATGTTATTGGTTCCAGCAGTTGATCTTTTCCAATTACATGAGCTAATAACTTCTATTATTGGTATAATATATGCTTTCTCTAATCTGATGTAGGTTGACTACATATAAAACCTACCTTTGGGAGTCATTGAAGCCTGCTTACACAACAACAGAATTTATTTAATTTATTAAAATGCTATATGCAAGTTTGAATGGCTGTCTGTGATTCTACTGTATGTACATATTGATTACTTCAATAAACATTCAAAAAATTTGTTGATTAGAAGGTAAACCTATGCATTAAATAATTTGCTTAATTTACTCAAACAAATGCTAAGTAATTTCAATATCCGCTAATTCTGTAATCACACGAACAAATTCAAATATTAAGAGCAACAAGATACATTATTGTAACTATTTTATTTCTTATGCAAAGTAATGTAATTACATATATACAATGTCCCTTGATTTAGCAAAAACACAGAGCAATGTAAACCTTGCAATTATATTTATGCTTATATAATGTGGATTAGGCTAGGAAATCAGTTTTTCAGATCTGTCCAGAAAAGCAGGACTCATTTATCATTCCCATTTGCTTCTTATCTGATGAGTGTGCCTGAAATCATATGTTAACACGTTGCTCCCATCACCCCGCTTCAGAACAAAACTTTCGACAAGCAAATAGCAACCAAACGTTTTCCAGTCTCGTATTCCTTCATATTTCTCTTCTTTTACCACTTTGATCCACTTCTCTTTCTCTTTAGCCCATCCAACTCTTCCTTCTTCCCACATTATTCTTTCTACAATCAGTGAGCTCAGCCCCACCCTATAGTCTTTTCCGCTTCCATCTGCTGCCTTGTACCACACCACTCCTCTGCCATCAATCATCTCTTCTTGCGCTTCTAGCTGCCCTGCTATTCTTACCATCTCTGCTGGAACCACCGCATCGACTATCACAGTCTTTTCCTGATCATAGCTTCTCTCGGCAGAAAAAATACGCTCCCATCTTTGCTCGAGTGTCATTTCATAATATACGGAATTTTTGATCTGATCTTTCTCACGCCCATCTTTGATGAACATGAAAGGGCAGTACCACTTACCAACAACCACTGACTTTGAAATTTCTTGAGATGGCAAAATATTGAAGTCCGGAAGACGAGCTCTAAGAGAAGGGTCAATACCTCGAGCCTCTCCCATGTTGAAGTTTTTTATAGATTTGGAGCTCATATGCCATCCTTTTCTGCGTAAAAAATGTGGAGGGTGACCATCAGGTGCTACGGATCTAGCTGAGAGCCTGCTTCCGCCGAGGCATGTCGGTGTTACAGAGAACTCAAACTGCTGATATATGTCATTTGCATCAAAGGGTGGTCTTGGTTTTACATCTCGGATGCATGGGATGCAGAAGCAGCAGGTGCCGATGTCGTCTTCTCTTGAGCTTGCATATGATTCCCTGTAACCATATATAGAAACATATGAGTAAAATTGTAAACTATAAAGCTATGTTAATTTATAACATAGTATGAGATGATTTAAGTTGTGTGTTTACCCCTTTGTCTTCCCATCTGCTTTTATTGCATAATATCGATTTGATGAGAGTGGCTGGTTGATGACAGGAATCAAATAAACCTCATCAACTGAAGTGTGAGAGCTTTCGCCATTGCTGGTTGTATATCTGATGGAGAGGCGCTTATTTTGTGGAAATGGCAGATTATTGATAGATGAACCCTTGATCAACCCGAAAAAATAGGTTGGTGTGGATTCCTCATCTCGGAGTACCAAATAACCAGAATTTGGACCTTCTGGAGCTGATGAGATAGCTTCTGGGGAATTTTTGTATAGAGATAAGGGTCTGGTTGTGTACATTTTTTCCCTCTATTCTTAGACACCAGGTGCTTCCTATTCTTGGCTGACTCAGGGATAATAGTTGGCACATCTTTGATATATATAGTCGCCTGATTATGTTATTTGACTTTTGATTAGATCTATTTTAACTTAATTAAGTCTTTATGCTGCCAGCTTTCATATGTTATTCAGTTGCCTAAACGTCATGTATGACCTTGTCTAGCATAAAATAATGCTTGATAATGACTTTGATCACCCTAACTTCCCTTTGAATATTTGGCACACAGTCAAATTAAAACATAGTTTACGTGATTATTATCAATTTTGGGTGGACATTGAGAGTAAATAATTCGATTTTTGGCAAGCCATGGGATTTGGGGCACATGCACAAGCAAGTCTTGGTCTTTTCACATAAAAACAGCTCTCAGCAGTTTCCTGTGTCCTCTCCAGATAAATTTCCTGATATTAAGCTAAATTTAATTATAGGATTGTACTAGTTAAGTATTGCAACCTGATGTCGTGTTCCTTAATGTAAATTTTGTGGTTCTTTTCGTTCCTCGGTGTTGTATTTGACCAAGTTTTGCATGTTACATAATCTTCAAAGATTTATGATTATGCATTATGCTGCATATTTCTCCAATCTGCTTGTTTCACTGCATTGATAATCAGCTTGGATTTCATTTTCTTGATTTTCGAAAACTGTAGCAGAGTCACTAAGCAATCAAATTTCTCATTGACTCATTGTATAGTGCGGAGTAGTATTTTTCTGGAGTTTGTTTGAGCTTTCAAACAGAACAAAAAAAAAAAAAACTTTTGTATTGCAAAATTCCTAAATTTAATGGATTGCTATGAAATTATTTTCTTGGTAAAAATTATGCGAGATAACATAAGATATCATTTTTCAAATACAAAAAGATGAAAACAATTCTCATGGTTGCAATAAATTGTGTTGTATATTTGTATAATCCATTCGTATCTATTTAAGCATTAGGTTGTACACAAAGTTTTATGCAACTGAAATAAAGTGAGTATTCTAATGTGGATGAGAGTGATGATAAAATATGTTGATAAAATATGAGTGGAAAGGTATTATGGAGTACTCTGTATAAAAACACAGAGAGATTTGGATATAATTAGGCATTTTCTACTTGTTTTAGATAAATGGTGCACTTATTTAAATACGGGGAAACAACTCTTTCAATAAAAAATATGATGAAAAAAATACGGGGAAGTAAGAGCAATTGAACAAATCCAATGACAAGCTAATTTGACAATTAGTTTGGTATGCCACATAAGTTTTTAAGCTAATTATCACTCCCTTCGTTTTTAAATAGTTGTTTCATTTTCCATTTCTGGTCGTTTTTAGATAATTACTCCATTTCCTTTTATGGAAAGCTTTTACAATATTTAATTAATTTCTCTAACGGACCCACTATAAATCATACTTCCTCCATCCCCTTTTGATAGTCCCTTATGGACATTTTTCACAGGAATTAATAAACACAAATAAGAATAATTAAAATGCATTGAAAAAGTAAATTGACATTGGGTATGCAAAAAAAAGTAGAGAGAGAAAGTAATAAAAGTACATAGGAAAACAAAATTTACATGGGAAAGTTAAATTTGCACAATTATTGTTGCAAATTGAAGGGAATTTTGGTAAAAAATTAAGGAAAATTAATATTAATGGTCGTTGGAAAAGACAAATGGGGTGAACATTTTAGGACTAAAATTTATCCATAAGGGACTATCAAAAGGGGACGGAGGGAGTATTTTATTAATTTCATATTCTCCCTCCTCCAATTTGCTTTTAACAATTTTTTATTCTTCCATTGACCCCACTATCTCTATATTTTATTGCTTTCTCCAATTTCTCCTAAAACTCTGCGAATAGAGAAATGGAGCAAGTATAAAAATCGAGGGAGTATTTTAGTTACTTTTTGCTCCAATGACTAGCTATTAGCTTAGTAGTAGTTGTTGGATAGAAAATACATGGAAAGAGCTTAATTGGTATAATGTGTATTTTATTGTGGCAAGTTTAATTTCCGAAGACAAAGCTAATTTGCTTAGCCAACCTAATTCAGTTTTCTTACTCCAATGGTCAAGCTAGTAACTAGAGAATTATTGCAATTGCAAGCAAATTCCTAACTACAATACGGAGTAATTGGAATTGCTCTAACCTATTGCCCAAAATTCGAATGCACTTTTGTAAGACTTGGCCCTATCTGAAATTTGCTCATTTTACGGCAAATGAGACAAGTTTGGAGTTTTTCAGTAGCAAAAAGAAGGTTCATGTGATTGTTTTAATTTAATACTTCCTCCCTTTTTCTTTTAGATGCAACACACCGTTTAACGCGGTAATTAAAAAAATGTGGGATTTATATGAAATAATAAACTTTAAAATAGGATGAGTGGTTGTTAGAAGTGTAATTTAGTATAATTTATTCCTAAATTAACTTTCGTTTTATAGTATGTTGCAAGTATTGTGACATTTCCTTTTTAGAGAAGTGTTGCAAGTATTACGTAAAAGAAAACGGAGGAAGTAGGAAAGAAGGGATGCAATCATGCAATGTCGAACTTTGATGCAAGCTGAAAACATGACGAAGGAGTGAGAAAATCAATTTCTAAAATATTTTTGGCGGGTTAGAGTTTGGAAGTGATAAACAAGAACTCCGTTGCAACAACACAAGACCTTAATTTCCACTTTGGAGGACTCGTGTTCGATGGAACCTAACCATCCATAATTGATCCCCGAATCTGGATTAGCTTGGTGGAACACCAAAAAAATTTCGACTTCTGAGGAAGTTTACCACCATGAGCGCAGGCAAATTCAAGCTTTGAAGCTTAAACAATGGAGTGGAAGTTCAATATTCTTCAATGAGGTAAGTATTCAACATAACACATCTATTTATATGTTTGCAATTACTTAATTTTGTACAATTCTATCCATTTCACTGTATTAGTTGTCAAATGTCCTTCAAAATTTGTATGATTGTATTTCTATAATTTAAGAATTTCTGGTCTGAATCTCTAATTTTTGTGATCATATGGAATTCTTTGTTTTGAACTGCAGATTCGGGTTTCGGCCTCTATGAACAGCCCATATAAAACCCAAAGTAAGGATATTTGAGAGCTAAGAGAGAGATTAAACTTTAAAATCATGTAGTTAGGGAATTTTCATAAAGTTAATGCAGAATATAATATGAATTTGGGTTCTTAATTTAGAGCATTAGACTAAGCATAAGAGTTAAACATGATAATTAGTCTCCTAAACAAACCTGTTGGAATTAGATTTTGGATGTTTCGGCCTAATTTATATTAGAAATTATAAAGATGTTTACGCCATTTAGGCCCTTTTTGGTTGAAGGGATTTGGCATGAAAAGAAAAGAAAGGAAAAGGTTTTAATATATTCTCAGGTTTGGTTTGATAAATGACATGAAAATTTAAAGGAAAGGAAGGGAAGTGAAAGGAAAGCCTCTTTACAAATTTTCAGCTTTCCTTTCCTCCCAAATTTGGAGGAATTTAACTGGAAAGAGAAAATAAAAGCATATTTCCTTTCTCTTCCCTTCATAACATTTCATTTACCAAACATTTGAAGTAAAATCTCCTTTTCCCTTCTCTTCCTTTCTTTTCTCTTCTTTTCCTTTACTAACAATGAACCAAACAAAGCAGCCCGTTTGATTGCTAGACTGAGGTGATAGGAATGAGTTAGTGTAATTTGGTAAACTAAGTGACATCTTAATGTCTAGTAATGCAAACTCATCCCCAAATTCATGTTAATCTTCATAAACTCACCCAATAGTACAATATTACTCCTGTGAAGTGGGAGTAGTAATGAATGATAATGAAAATTTGTGAATAAAAATAGAGAATGTTCGGTAAGCTAGCATTACCATGGGAATGGACAATATTATATACAAACTCATTCCCATTACCACCATTACTACTACTTGTCAAACGGGCCGTGAGTGTTAACCAATCCTAAGAGAGAAACCACCTAGTGATGAACATCATATCTCAGTTACATAACTTCCTATTTGCTATCGTGAGTGTTAACATGGTAAAATCTTGTATGGCTTCATGAATCTTTGGCTGGTGCGGGATCATTAATAGACTTGAAAAACACATCCAAAGTGATGGGGGAAATGGACTGAAAGCATAACTATTATATTAATTTCTTTCCTCTTCACAAACATGAACGCCAACATTTCCATTATGTCTCTAAAAAGACCCCCATCCCCTTACCTCACCGGCAGGATAGGATGTAGGAACCATGGGGTGTCGTTTGTATGCAATCTTTGTTGCGATGATGTGGAGGCTATCTCTTTAAATCCTCCATCTATTGGGAAGTAACTAAGCCAGTCAATAACCATCTATTGTTGCTCAACGAGTTTATCTCCTATTGCTTCATAATCCTCATCTTCTTACCCTGACTTGCTTCTGTTCCTGCACCATTCTCTCTACAATTAGTGAGCTATGCCCCATATCAGATATTCATCTACTGCATCAACTTTTATAGACTTTCCCTGACCATAACTCTTCAGCAGCAGAAACCTACTTCATTTGTTGACAGCTCATTGTTACAGAGTTTTTAACTTGATCTTTCTCTGTCTCTGACTGTTCTTTGATAACTTTGAATAATAATGATAATAAACCTTAAGCTTGCATATGATTTACTGTGATTAGATTAAAATCTCGGGGAATTTGTGCATGTTACTCAGCACTGAACCTTATCAAGTATTTTTTTTTTATATATTGATAATATAAAATTAATCTTCTTTTTCTCTTTAAACAATTATATTGGACCAAAGCTGGCCTAGTCAAATCCTTACGATGTATTATTGTAATTCTTGAAATTTTTAGAATGAGATGATTACATCTTTTAATCTTTCAAAAACAAATTAAAGTCAATACAAAAATTGTAATCAAGAAATCTATAATATATATATATATATATATATATATATATATAAAGGGGAGTTTTTTCCCGAGTTTTAATAGAGCTAAGTAGGATTTAATTTTTTCAGCGCCATGTAGGATAATAAATTTTAGTAGTAGCCAATTAAATACGAGATTAGTAATTTCTTTTAGAATTAAATGATTTGAATGACATGTAAGCAAAATTGAGGAATGAGATTTTCCAGTTTAAATTAATTAAATGTAAAATATTAGGAATTTTATCTAAATATATAACAAATTTTAGCATATATATATAATTATTTTAAAAAATACAAACAAAATGTGCATCGCACGGGCTTCATCTAGTTTTTTAATAAATTTATCAATTGAAAAAGAAACTCAAGAAATTCTAGCTTGAAAAATGAAACTTGTTAATCGAGAAAAAGGTGAAACATTGTCAAATTTCAAACCAAAACCGTTACTAACCCAAATGAGAATCAAACTGATAAAAATCGGAAACCGACTCGAATTCTATTTTAGTAAACCTAAAACCGAACAGACCTGAATAATGTTAAACCGTATAAGAACCGAAGCGAAAAAAAACCCAATCGTTTTTAACCCAAAATCGATTCCAACCCGAAATTGTGTAAACCTAGATAAAACCGTTTACACCAAACCATTTACAAACCGCAACCCGTTTGAACCATTTACTATCCGAACCGTGTACAACCCGAACCAAATTCAAACTGCTCAGGAATAATTCGAACCGAAACTGACCCGTAAGGCACTTAAACCAACTTAAAACCGACCCGTTTGAAAACCGAACCGAAACCTAATTGTCAAACCGTTTTGATAGTACTACGTATAATGGTTGATAAAGGAAATTTTAAATATGGTCATGAGGTTTTGAAATGCTACAGGGTCCCATCAATTGATCTTTTCCTATTACATGAACCTGTGTGTGACTTCTATAATATTGTTGAAAAAGACTTTCTCCTACCTGATCATTTTGTTGAATGCCTGTTAAACCTACCTTCTTTTCCGGAGCTGTTGAAACTTTCTCACAAAGCAGAAGAATATATTTGATTATTAACATACTACATTCAAATAGCAATGGTTGTTATTTGTTGTGATTCTTAGCTGTAATTACATGTTGATCACTTGATTAAACATTTACATGACTTGTTCAAGGGAAGCTCAACATATATATTGAATAATCTGTTTTATTTTCTCAACAAATTATAAACTAATTTCAATATCCATGAAGTTAGAAAATATGAAAGCAATGGAGATTATTGGAATAAAAAGAGGGAAAAAAATACAACAAAATATAAGGTTATTACATATTTACAATATCCTTGTAGACCTTGCAAGTATATGTATGTTTACAAGGGATCATGCAGAATAGCAGGACTGTAGGAAGACAGTTTTTCATATCTGTCCAGAAAATGCAGGACTCATTGATCATTCCCATTTGCTTCGTATCTGATGAGTGTGCCTGAAATCATATGTCAGAATAATGCTTCCATCACCCCGCTTCAGAACAAAACTTTCGACAAGCAAATAGCAACCAAAAGCTTTCCAGTCTGTTATTCCTTCATATTTTTCTTCTTTTACCACATTGATCCACTTTTCTTTCTCTTTAGTCCATCCAACTCTTCCTTCTTCCCACATTATTCTTTCTACAATCAGTGAGCTCAGCCCCATCCGATATACTGTTCCACTTCCATCTATTGCCTTGTACCACACCACTCCTCTGCCATCAATCATCTCTTCTTGCGCTTCTAGCTGCCCTGCAATTCTTACCACCTCTGCTGGAACCACCACATCAACTATCACTGTCTTTTCCTGATCATTATTGCTTCTCTCAGCAGTAAAAACCCGCTCCCATCGTTGCTCAAGTGTCATTTCATAATATATGGAATTCTTGATTTGGTCTTTCTCACTCCCATCTTTGATAAACATAAAAGGGCAGTACCACTTACCAACAACCACAGATGTTGAGCTTTCTTGAGAAGAGAAAATATTGAAGTCTGGAAGACGAGCTCTAAGGGAGGAGTCAATACCGCGAGCCTCTCCCATGTTGAAATTTTTTAGAGATTTGGAGCTCATATGCCATCCTTTTCTGCGTAAAAAATATGGTGGGTGACCATCAGGTGCTACGGATCTAGCTGAGAGCTGGTTTCCACCAAGAAAAGTTTGTTTTACAGAGAACTGAAATTGCTGATATATGTCATTTGCATCAAAGGGTGGTCTTGGTTTTACATCTCGGATGGTTGGGATGCAAAAGCAGCTAGTTCCTATGTCTTCTTCTCTTGAGCTTGCATATGATTCCCTGTTAGCATGTTATAAGATATGAAAAAAAATCGTAAATTATAAAGCTATGTTAATTCAAAGCATAGTATGAGATGATTTAAGTTCTGTGTTTACCCCTTTGTTTTCCCATCTGCTTTGATTGCATAATACTGGTTGGATGAGAGTGGCTTGTTGATGACAGGAATCAAGTAAACCTCATCATCAGAAGTATGGTGAGAGGTGTGCCCGTTATGATTGCTGGTTGTTGTATATCTGACAGAGAGGCGCTTATTTTGTGGAAATGGCAGATCATCTATAGACGAGCCCTTGATCAACCCGAACAAATATGTTGGTGTGGATTCTTCATCTCGGAGTACCAAATAACCAGAATTTGGACCTTCTGGCGTTGATGAGATGGCTTCTGTGGAACGTTTGTATAAAGATAAGGGCCTGGTTGTGTACATTTATTCCCTCTTATTCACCAGGTGCTTCCTATTCTTGGCTGATTCCGAAAAACAATAGTTGGCCTATACTTGTATATATATATAGGCATAGCCGTTTTAATACATTACAGAATATTTGACGATTGACTAGGTCTAGATTAACCTGATCCTGCCAGGTTAAGTTTGTTATATGTGTTTTGACTAAGTTATCCAGCAAATAAAATTCCCAAAAATGTTTGGAAAGCAAAATTTGGAGTTAATAGTCTGTATATAATAATGCTTGATTATAATTATGACCGAGTAGGTACTAAACTATCCAAGAATTTCACATTGAATTGTTGGCCGTTGCACACAGTCTAAACATAGTTTATGCGACTATCAATTTCTGCCGGTGAAAGTAAATAGTTATGATTTTGGCAAGCTACAGCCCACAGGATTTAAAGCATATGCACAAGAAATCTTGGTCTTCTCCGATATAAACAGCTCTAAGCAGTTTCCGGTATCTTTCTTTCCAGTTATTTTGCCTTGATATCTGGCTAAATTTAATCATGAGATTGTACTAGTTAGTATTTTAAAAACTTATTTGCCGTATCTCTTAATGCAAGTTTCTTGGTTCTTTTTGTTCCTCATTCGTATTTGACCACTTTGCATGTTAGAATCGTCAAAGATGGTTGGCTGCAGAACGCTGTAATATTTTATTTGATATTTTACAAGGATTAAAATAATCGGATTTCTTAACAAAGCTATCAACATTACAACTTGACACATTCAAAATTAAACATGCTTCCTGTAATCTATTATTGGAAATTAAAAATTATTTGTGACATGAAATTGTTTTCTAATACGGAGTAAATCATAATTGGGCAAAGTTATAATTAAATATCTCATTTAGCCTATATTCTCTTTGTCTAAAATAAGATGTTTTGATTTTAATTTTCTTAAGTCCAGGCTAAAATGGTCTGATGTAATCTAATTGTTTGATTAGAATAAAGTTAACTTATACATCAATGTATGAAAATACACCATTAGGTGGTTTAGTTATAATCTATATCTATATAGATATACTTAAACATAATTATACAAAAATATTTTAACCAATGAAATTTCAAATTTATAATATCCTTTGATTTATGGGATACACAGCAATGTAAACCTTGCAAGTATATGTATGTTTATAAGGGATCATGCAGAATAGCAGGACTGTAGGATTCATTGATATCATTCCCATTTGCTTCTTAGCTGATGAGTGTGCCTGAAATCATATGTTAGAACATTGCTTCCATCATTACTCTTCAGAACAAAACTTTCGACTAGCAAATAGCAACCAAAAGTTTTCCAGTCTGTTATTCCTTCATATTTTTCTTCTTTTACCACATTGATCCACTTTTCTTTCTATTTAGTCCATCCAACTCTTCCTTCTTCCCACATCATTCTTTCTACAATCAGTGAGCTCAGCCCCATCCGATGTACTGTCCCGCTTCCATCTATTGCCTTGTACCACACCACTCCTCTGCCGAAAACCATCTCTTCTTGTGCTTCTAGCTGTCCTGCAATTCTTACCAGCTCTGCAGGAACCACAGCATTGACTATCACAGTCTTTTCCTGATCATTGCGTCTCTCGGCAGCAAAAATCCTCTCCCATCGTTGCTCAAGTGTCATTACATAATATAGAGAATTCTTGATTTGGTCTTTCTCACTCCCATCTTTGATGAACATAAAAGGGCAGTACCACTTACCAACAACCACAGACTTTGAACTTTCTTGAGAAGACATAATATTGAAGTCTGGAAGACGAGCTCTGAGGGAAGAGTCAATACCTCGTGCCTCTTCCATGTTGAAATTTTTTAGAGATTTGGAGTTCATATACCATCCTTTTCTGCGTAAAAATTGTGGAGGGTGACCATCAGGTGCAACAGATTTAGCTGAGAGCCAGCTTCCGCCGAGGCATGTTGGTATTACAGAGAATTCAAACTGCTGATATATGTCGTTTGCATCAAAGGGTGGTCTTGGTTTTACATCTCGGATGCTAGGGATGCAGAAGCAGCAAGTGCCCATGTCTTCTTCTTTTGAGCTAGCATGTGATTCCCTGTAAGTGCTGTAACCATATTAAAAGATATGAGAAAAGTCGTAAATTATAAAGCTATGTTGATTTACAGCATAGTATGAGATAAGTTGTGTGTTTACCCCTTTGTCTTCCCATCTGCTTTTATTGCATAATATCGATTGGATGAGAGTGGCTGGTTGATGACAGGAATCAAATAAACCTCATCAATTGAAGTGCTAGAGTTTTAACCACTGCCGGTTGTATATCTGATGGTGAGGCGCTTATTTTGTGGAAATGGCAGATTATTGATAGATGAACCCTTGATCAACCCGAAACAATAGGTTGGTGTGGATTCTTCATCTCGGAGTACCAAATAACCCGAATTTGGACCTTCTGGAGCTGATGAGATCTCTCCAGGATAATTTTTGTATAGAGATAAGGGTCTGGTTGTGTACATATTTTCACTCTATACTTAGTCAGCAGGTGCTTCCTATTCTTGGATATATATAGGCATAGATTACTGTAATGCCTTGTCCTCAATACATTAATGCTTGACAATGACTATAACCGAATATGCACCAAATTATCCAAGAACATCCCATTGAATAGTTGGCAGTCTGGCACATAGTATAAACGTAGTTTACGAGAGAGTATTCATTCTAGACGGCGACAGTAAATACTCCGTAATTCTTTTTTTTTGGCAAGCCATGGTCCGTATGTCCGTGCACAATTGAGCATGTACGGATGCACAGCCTGGCAAGTGATCTTCTCAGATATAATTAGCTCTAAGCAGTTTCCTGTATCTTTCTTTTCAAATATAATACGGAGTATTTTTCTTGATATCTAGCTAAGTTTGAGATATTTTTGTTAATGTCTGGCAAAATTTATTGCCGTGTCTCTTAATGGAAATATGAAATGCAAGTTAATCAACATTCAAACTTGACATGAACAAAACACGTTTAAGTGATTGACCTGATTATACACCTTTTATTTTGACTTTTGCATTATTCATATATACCACTTTGACCTCTATTTATGCTTTATACAAAAGAATTTATTTCATCTGTTTTCTTTTAAATGTATCACTTTGACTTTTATACTGATTTATTAATTTATAATTAAATAAACATATATTAGATTCGTTTTGTTCATATTACTCTGACAAATTGGTCTTAACAACATGAACTTCTAACAAGGTGTACGACAGTACGAACAACATGAACTGCTAATAAGGTGTACAAACAACATGAACTTTGACTAAAATTCTGAACAGCACCAACATCTTCATCGAGTACCCTCTCCCTTCCCCAACCCCCAAACCGACCTCCATTCCTTCCCCAACTCACAAAAAACACTCCTCGGGCTGCTTCGGGGAGTAGTATTGAGGATTGAGAAGGGAGGGAGGTCATTTTTCGGTGACGAGGAGGTTATTTTGGTAGTGGAGTGTATTGGCCAGTCGTTTTCAGGGGATAAGGAGGACGGTCGACCCGTTTCCGATAGGAGTATAGTGGGGGAAGAGGAGGGAAGGTGGCCGGTTAGGATTTAGGGTTCTTTTTTTTTATTTATTAAATTTATTTTATTTTAGTCTCTTATTTATTTATTTATTTATTTATTTAGTTTTTTAAGTGGTTAGAGAGCCACAGAGGGGCGGGGGTGAGAATCGATCCTAAGATTTAGCCGCAAATTTTACATGGTACATGTAAACTGTATGCTCCAACAATTAGCAGACCAATATTTCTCTCTTCTCAGTATTTTCTCTCTCACACTTTCCTAATTTCTGATTTTCTCTCTCCTTTAATTTCTCTCTCCTCTGTTTTTCTCTCTCTTAACTTCATTTATTATTTTTGTTTTTGATTTAATTTCTTCATCACCATTGTTATCACTAAAGATTGAATTCCTTCACCTCCTTCTCTTACAATTTCATAATTTTTTTTATTTATCTCTCCTTTATTTTTCTTTCTCTTAAATTCATTCATTATTTTGTTTTTGGTTTAATTCCTTCATCACCATTGTTGATCACCATAGATTAATTTCAAATTTCGTTTTCTTCAACCTTCAATTTGAAGCTTTGTTAATGGAGTTTCTGCAATGAAGTAAGGTTAAAAAGGGCGGATTTGATGAGGAGAAGATGGTTTATTTTATTTTATTTATTTTTTATTTTTATTGACAAAGAGAGGAGAAGATGGTTAATACGACAGAGATGATGATTTTCCGATGAGATTCCATTATTTAAATCATCATGATTAGGTTTGATTTTTGAAACATGTAGCTTTCATATTCTTTTGATTTTATTTGTTAATGATATTTGTGTATTTTATTATGAGTTAAACAGTGTTGTTTTTTGTGTTAGATTATGTAAATAATCTATTTATGGATATTGTTTATTTGTAATTACAGTCCGTCTTGTGTGCGGCCGGTCACACCGTGTGACCACTTAAAGTAACCCCTATAACATTGATTAAGTAACCCATGTAATACCAATCGAGTAACCGCTATAACACTGACCGAGTAACTATATAACAATGATGAAGTAACTCTTACAACACTGATCAGGTAACCCTCATTACACTAGCAAAGTAACCCCTATAATGGCTGGCCACACGGTGTGGCCAGCCACATATAAGACTTTGTGTTGTAATTATCTTTGATAATTATCTCCTGTATTTTTGGTAATTATCTTGTATAACTTCCTAGTTTAGCTGATCATACTTTTGTATATATTGGTTAAGCATTTAATGAGAAAGCACAGCAAATATTCTCTCATCTATCATATTCTCTCATTTTGGTATTTTGAACATTTTAAGTTAAAATTATGAACGTATGACACGTTTCCTAGAAATATGTAATTTTATTGACATGAATTTTTTGGAATATGAACATCTTAATTATAATTCTGTACATGTAATACATTACTTATGATTTTTTTTTTTAAAAAAAATTTATGTATTTTGTAATTGTAGACACCCAAATGTGTCTCCCCAAAACCAAACCCAGTGATGAGTACCTT